AATTTTTTTCATATTCAATTATGTCAATACATCATAATATAAATACTATGTAATGGAGATGAGTTTAGGTTATGAGAATGAATATCTTATTGTAACTAAAACTCTAAATTAACCAAAATAGTTGAAAGGGCATTGTGTAAATCTTTGTTTTATAAAATCAACCTCAGCACAGGCTGACTACATTGACATGAACATACACTCATATACACAGGCACACACTGGCACACACACACACACACACACACACACACACACACACACAGAGAGAGAGAGAGAGAGAGAGAGAGAGAGAGAGAGAGAGAGAGAGAGAGAGAGAGTGAGTACAGGCTGGTAGCACTAACACATACACTCACACACACCAAAAAATAAAATAAAGATGAAAAAAACAGCCAAGTTATTTCAGTCACAGGCAGCATTGGCAGCCTTCAGTGGCTGAGTCAGATGACCTTTTATGACAACACGTGCATGTGGGATGCATTATCAACAGTCTCCTAAGTAAAGCACTCTCGGTTCTCCTCTAGATCTATGTTAAGCATGAAAAAAAATAGAGAAAAGACCAGCATTGAGCATGCTATGCACATAGGAGACTGGGAGAAGTTGCATGGGGAGTTGGGAGGGTGACAAGAGTTCTCCTGAGACAGACTCAAATGAGCCAGCCTAGGAGACTAGACAGCCCTTGCTGCTGCTCATTACACACATGCAGTGCAACACCCAGGAGGCACTCCGGGCTGCTTTTACTCATCAACTTGTGAAGATCATCAGGGAAGACTTCACCCACTCAGACAGAGGGAAGTCCAGAAATAACAGTCTGGACTAAAAAGAGAAACATCTTTCTGGCTTGTGTGCCAACATGTGTACCCACTTTTACTGTTTCTCTCAAATAATCACCCAGTTTCTTCACAGGGGCAGACAGACACAACCAGAGCTGACTGGGCTACAGCTTCATAGAGAAACACTCAAATGGCTGCTCCTTTTCAGAAAGATATGTGTGGTGATATTCACACATCACTGTTCACCTCTTTGTTTTTATGTACCATAAGTTTATATAGAATGCATCAGAAAGAGAAAGCAAGCCCCAAATGCAACACTGTTATTTATACATGGTAGAAATAACATCAAAGGTGATTTGATTTTCTCCCTTTCATATACATGCTGGTGCATTTCTTGGCATAAAACATGCATCATTCATTAATGAACTGTTACATAATTGAACAACATGTGTTGGTGCATGATTTACAGAATCCAAACACTTGGTAGATGGGGGCAGGAAGGTCATGTGTTCAAAGATGGTTTGTTCTATAAACACAGCTAAAACAATTATCTTTGTCTTTGCTATCTGAAATATAGGCAACAGTTCCCACTGTGTAAGATACTGTTCACAGTACTAGAGTGACCTCCAATCACCAGGTTTGGGGAAAATGAAAAAACAATACTCAATAGAAAGAGCAGAATCCAAGAGCAACTGAGTGAATTCAGAGGGCAACAACCCACAGAATGACAGTTTTCTCAAAGTCACCTTTACGGTAGCTGGCACAGGTGGCAAAGAAAGCTGCAGATAGATTGAACAACAAAGCAAACAGACAAAAACCTCTACATACCTGCTTGATTCTGACGGCACTGAAATGATCTGAGCTCCTGGAGGTTCAAAACCATCCGAGAGTTTGAAACAAGAGTTTGAAGTATTTACATAGCATAATAGAAAAGAGCAAATGCTGTCATCCTGTTATGGCTCTACTTAGCAACATAATTAAAAATACAAACACCCAGAAAGAATGTGCAGTGGGTGGCACGCAATAAATTTTTAATGATTGTTATGGCCAACATTTAACATCTAAAATCATATGAGGAATTTAGTGATCTTTCGTGTTTCTTTCAGGTGAATTCACAAGCATCCTTCCCACTCAGACCACTACAAAGCAGTCACATGGGAATAGAGGAAAGAGATACAGTCTATCCGGGAAGGAAGATAATGGACTTAGAACCCAACAGGGAATGAGAAGACACAGCTCTGGAGTTCTCCCTAGACTTGGAGGAAAACAAACAGAAAGTGACAATAAAATTTCATATCTGAAATGTGAAGATTTCAAACTAAAAAAATTTCAATTCCAACTTATTTTCTACTTTTGAGAACACAGTTATAAGTTAATCTAAGTGTGTGTGGACCCTTTATATAGAGCATACAGAGGAGGTAGGCTTAAAATACTCCTGTTGCCTCAAGCTGTTCTGCTTTAACTGCTAAGACAGAATGGTATATGAATTGAATCTTGGTTCCTTTTATTAAAAGATTTACTTATGTATGTATGTATGTATGTATGTATATATGTATGTATGTATGTATTTACATGATTTTGTCTGCACATATGCACACCAGAAGAAGGCATTGGATCCCATGGGACTGTGGTTATAGACAGATTTCAATTATAGACAGTTGTAAGCACCATGTCAGTGCTAGCAATTGAACTCAGGACCTCTGGAAGAGCAGTTACGTGTTCTTATCTACTGAGCCTTCTCTTCAGCACCACATCTTGATTCAGCTTTTAATCCAGTTTTGTTTAAGAAACCTTCCCATGATGACCATGATGTGGCCATCCAGACACCAAGGGCTAATGAGCCTTTATATGGTGACTAGCACAGCCTAAAGCCTGAACATATTTATACTGCATTTAGGTTTCTTTGTTTGTTTATTTTCTTTTTTGTTTTTACAAGACAAGGTCTGTCTGTGTAGCCCTGGCTGTCCTGGAACTCACTCTCTAGACCAGGCTGGCCTTGAACTCACAGAGATCCACCTGCCTCTGCCTCTGCCACCCAAGTGCTAGATTAAAGTGTGTGCCACCACCACCCAGCTACTTTTGGCATTTAGTTTTAATTAATGCAAACATAAAAACCACACAGGGCTAGTGACCAGCCTACCACACAGTGCTATCAGTTGGGAATGGCTGCCCCACAGCACCAACATTTAATGTGGTTCTGGGTTGGCCGGAACAGAACACTGTGCCACAGTGGAGATTCCTGTTCTGGAACAGGAAGGGACAGGCTATCTGCAGGCTCAGTTCAATAACTTCCTTCTTACAACCAAACAGAGCCTCTCTTGCTATCTGCATGGTCTCTTAGACACCAAAATGTTCATTTTGGCTCCTATAAGAAGTGCTGCTGAAAAGAATCAGACTATAGTGGGATAAAAATTAAAAGATAATCCCACCCAAGAAAATGCCACTTCTCATAGATATATAAAAGTGAGTGACAGTGTTAAGCTATTCATTAGGCTAAGCTATGTGGTAGACCTCTGTGCTGGCTGGTTTTTGTCCAATTGACACAAATGTAAACATATCTGGGGAAAGGGAATCTTTTTTAAATTTTTATTATTATTTTAAGTATATGGGTGGTTATGCCTATGTATGTGTATCATATGTGTGCTTGGCAACTGAAGGCTAGAAGGTGGCACTGGATACCCTGGAAATGGAGTTACAGACCACTGTGGGTCATCATGGCTCTTGGAAATTGAACCATGGTCTTCTGGAAGAACAGTCAGTGTTCTTGACTCCAGCACCTGAAGAGGAAATCTTGGGCAAATCTGTTGGGTATTATCTTCATTAATGATTGATTGAGGGCCCATCTTGGACAAGTGGTCCTGAGTTGTGTAAGAAAGCAAGATGAGCAAACCATCAGGAGAGTAAGCAGGTAAACACTATTCCTCTATGGCCTTTGCTTCAGTTCCTGCCTTGGGGTTCCTGCATCAAGTTCCTGTCCTGACTTCCCGGGGTGATGGGCTACAAGCTCTAAGATGAAATAAACCCTCTTCCGTCCTCAAGTTGCCTTTGGTCATGGCATTTTATCACAACACTAAAAACTCAGTAATACTACAGATGTGTGTCACAGTCTTGTCATTAAGATGATTCAGTAAATAAGAAACAAGATACACAGACAAGGTAAGTCACATAGTCCACTATTTGGATGTATACAATATACTAAAACCACTGAAAAATAAAGCTGGATGGAAATGACACAGTCCCCCACCACTTGGGGAAACACTGTGCTTCACTTTCTCAGAGAAAGTCAAGTATCACCAGGAAGTAATATCTTAGCCAACTGTGGGTGATTCCAAATGTCACATAAAATATGTCACACAACATGACCATCAGGTAAAAAAGAGGAACATATATTCACATTTCCATGTCCCAAAGTAGGTTCCTACAGTCTTCCCTAAGGAAGACTATGCCAAACTCTCATTAACAGTTGGTTCCAAGGTGATCCTCAAAGCCAAGTTGAGAATCATTTTGAATTCTCCTTTGGAGTTCACATATGTATACCCCAAATGGCAGGGAGTTGGTATAAGCAACCATTTCTATCCCAGATCCTTAAGTCTAAAAAAGCTCTGGAATGGGTCCAGGCCTCTTTCGAATGCTACTACGCACAAAGATGTCAGTACATGCCTGGATTCAACTGCTCTGAGTGAACATATTACAGTAGTTATCTGTATAACTCTCCTGTTAAAGAATTCTCATCATCAAACTCAGTGAGCCATTCAACTTCAAGTGAGTGATTTCCTACTTTACTGGAATGCCATATACAGTTGTGTACCACACATGACTACCTAGGGAACTACAGTGGTCCCATAAGACCATACAACTAAATGATATTGTACCTACATAGCTTGGCATAAGTCTTTCTATGATAATTGCAAAGCAGCAAAATTATTTCTCAATGCATTTCTCAGAGAATTTCTTGTCAATAAGCTGTACAACATGACTGTATATCAACTCATCTTACGATTTTCATCTCATTTTGTTCAAAGACCAAATGACTTTTATAAGACAAGTAGATTTCCAAAGACAACACTGCATTCTAGTGAGCTGCCAACTATTACATATCTAAATTATACAGTTTAAGAGAATCTCTCCATATGTAAAACAAAAGAACTCTCCTTGTTTGGCCTCCTGAAAACTCATGCCATAAATAAATAAATAAACAAATACCATGAATCCACAAGCCTCTTTTCTTACCTCCACCACTGTGGTTCCAGCAGCTTTGCACATTGGCAAATTGAAGTTTCTTGCACTTTTCCTATATCAGACAAGGGGAGGAGAAGAGGGAGAAAGATCAAAGACAAGATTCATCTGTTTCACCTTGAAAATGCAGAGTGAAAGATTGTCTACCAAGAATCTATGGACCTGAGAGTGCAAGGCTTACACCTATCTTTAAACTTAAAAGCGCTTGTGGCTATTTCATTCAATTTGTATGATTTTTAGAGTAGGTAGGAGGATAGGGTTTTTTCCAAGTTCAATCAATAGCTTTTACACAGAAAAATAAAATGGGTACTCATAAATATCTGAAATTAAATTCTCACAATCTTTTAACCAAGATTAAACTTTGCTGCCACAATTAAACATTTCACTGAGAAACTTAAAAAAGAAATGAAAAGAAAAGAAAGAGAGTTATGGATGCATCTTGGTGATGAAGCATTTACTCGGTGTGCACCAGGCCCTGGGCTCCAACTCCAGCACCACAAAGGAGAAGAGAAGGGGGTAAGGAAAAAGTGCTTCACAGGAGAGGGTCCAGTCTTCCCTACTAAATTTTCTGACTAAAAAGAAGCCTCCACTAGCTGACAGCATATGAAACACTCACGGTGCTGTGAGTCCATCTAACAATCATTCAGGAGAAGTTTTGTGTCGTATGGACCAGCTATCCCAGTGACTGTGAATGAGATTTGTATTCTGAGAATCTAGACCACTTGACCACTGGGCTGAGACCACCATTCAGTGACCAACAGCACCTACATATGATCAGAGCTTACAGGCCCTTTTTTTTGTAGACACCTCTACAAATACTTTACGTAACTGCTATTTGCTAGATAACTTCATCCGTCTGTTTTATAAAGCATCAGAACTTTGCAAACATCACACCAATGGTCAAAGAAAGCAGTCAGTGTGTGAGTCTCCCTAGAATTTCCAAAAGTAGTTGCATGTCAAAAACCTACAATTCAAGAAATCGGAGCATTACTATTACATTGAGTCCTTCAGAAGTAAATAAAAACAATGCAGGTGCTCCAGAGAATTTGACCGTGATTGAGGCTAAACTCTATTTGTTAGAATAATATTTTCAAATCCTTTATTAAAAGCAGTAAATTACAAAATGATGATTAAAAAATGATTTATATAACTGACTAGGTCATGTAGCTTACCTCTTACATATGTAGCCTAAGTGGCCTAACTTTCAAAACACAACTATCTAATTTACAAATCTAAGACATTAAATACTTATAATTACTTAAGAGTTTAGTATGCAGAGGTTACTCAAAAGACAGGAAAATCATGTAGGTCTGTGGCTACCCAGATAAGAAAATAAGAAGAGCTCGGCATTTGTGAAGATAATTAGCTCTTCAGATAGAACCTTAGAAGGTTTTCCTGGGAGACATTAGCCACACAAGAAAAGGACTCACCTAAACCATTATTAGCAATTTCCCCCAAAATATCAGAGCAATTTTAACATTTTAAGACACTGTATAAATTAGCAATATTAAAACAAACAGAAAAAATACATGCTGGCTGCTCTCATCTTTGTCAAGAAAATAACTACTCTTGCCAATGAAAATACAGATGGAAAAAATAACTGTATGTACCTGTGTACAAGAGCACATAAACCCATTTATTTTAAAATGGGGTCTTATATATCTCAAGCTAGCCTCAAACTCATTATGTACTGGGAATGCAATACCATAGAATCAAACCCAAGGCTTGGGGCACGCTAGGCAAGCACTCTACCCACTCAGCTACATCCAGCCCTGGATCCAATTATTTAGCAAGCCATTGGCCAATAGAAAGAGTAGGTCCCTGGGATTACATGCACTTCTGGACACAAGTACATACACAGGCATGCATGACTCTAAGCAATTTTTAAATGGTCAGAATATCACAGCAACTCACTGCAATATTCATTTCTGCTGTCGGAATCTCTGAAATGCTGTTAGAAAACAACAGAAAATGCTGTTGACACACATTACATAAATTCTCTTTAAGTGCTAAGGATGGAACACAGAGCCCTAGGCAAACACTCCACCTGAGATATAGCTTCCTTTTTACCCAAGGCAGGAGGTGAGAGTGGGGGCTCAACATGCAAGGCACAGGCTGGAATGCCTACATGCCTCGTATGTTTTGTTTAGTTTTTTTTTAACTATAACAATACCTGAAAATCACGTTTCCTGCCCGGTCTGCTTTCCAAGCTTTCACCAAAGCAAAATCTCCTGTGATTGCTTCCTCCAAAATAAAGTGCTGACCGTTAAACTCCCTCACCTGCAGGAAACAAAGACTCACTGTCAGATATGTGTGAGGGACTTGTATGATTGTACTCCGTGCTGTGCTCTGAAGAGGCACACACTAGGAACATAAGCCTAGCGAGGGAGGCTGTCTCAGGAACAGGAACCTCACGAGATTTCCTCAGTAGCATAAGGCTTTCTTGAAATAGTCCAGGGAGGCTACAGGTAGAGAATGTGCATAGGTCCCACAAGTGCAAGTTTAGTGCATGTGAGGAACTAAACCTCCACAAGTCTAAGTGATAAAGTGTGTCAGTATCCATTTGAATGTGTGCCTTGGTTACATTTGGGACATAGAACATAGCCCCTCTTTCCTTCTACTGCCCCCCCAAATAAAAATTTGTACATTACATGAAATGGCTTATCTATTGTTTCTCATTAATCTGTGATCCATAATTACTGTTGAGATAATCGATGATCCACAAAAATAGTAAAATGATTGAAAAAGAACTGGTGGCCTCCCACCTGCCTGGGCACGAAGCAGGCTTCCTTCTATTAACATCTTTGTTTACCTTCTTTGATAGATTTTCTTCACATAAAATCTCCATGATTTCTGTATTTACTCATAGGAACTACTTGCTTTCTTTGCCACTATGAATGTTGGTTTTAACTTATTGCACATCTTCAGTCATTACTGATATAACACAATGCTTTTGACTTTTTTTAAACGTTTACTGCCTTTTGGGAGAGAACATAAAAACAAACTCTCCTTTGCCATTATGTTCTTCCTATCTTTTCCCCCATGGAGATTTGCCTTTGGGAATTAAATAGAGAATCGAAACAACCCCACTGAGGGCTGGAGCCTTCATGTACAAATGAAGCCCTGTGAAGGCAGAACTCCAATAGCGTTCCCACTGTGCCCTCTAGTGGAAAGCAGGCTGAATGCGTTTTCTAGAAGGATCCTGCAGAAAGGTGGGGTTCAGCTACTTTTTGCTTTGTTTTGTTGGGAGGGTGCTCAGAATTGAACCTGAGGTCTCATTGCATTACCACATACTCTGTCACTGAGCAGTGTTCCAACCTTTTTTGGGGAGGGTGGGGTTATTTATTTATTTATCATTTTTATTTTTCAAGTCAGGATTTCTCTGTGTAGCCCAGGCTGTCCTGAAACTGGATATGTAGACCAGGCTGGCCTGGAACTCAGAGATCTGTCTGCCTCTGCCTCCCTAGTGTTGGGATTAAAGGAATGTGCTGCTATAATCGGCTCTAACTTTACTTTTAAAGTTAAGAGTTTCAAACAGATTGTTTCTTAAAGGAAAGTTTCTCCAAAGATATCCCAGTTTCTTGCTAGAAAATATGAGCTAGGAGAACCACCGATGCAGACTGCACTAATATGAAATTATATGAGGTTAGCTGCACATCAGCATACAAACTTATCTCAAAGGTTTGTCTGTGTCTTTCAAAAGCCATCTCTGTGAACATCAATGACAAGGCAAGTAGCGGCACATACCTGTAATCCCAGCACTTGAGAGGCAGAGGCAAGAGGACTGCTGGGAGATCAAGAGAAGCCTGGCATACAGAGCTTCAAAACCCCCTGAACAAAACTTTCAAAAACTGAAGCAAACAAATCCACCAGTGATGATGCTTGAGATGTAGAAAACACAAGTATTTTCTAAATATGCTTCCCAGTGTTGACTGTTTTAAATCTCAAAGAGGGAAGCAGCTGCCTTTACCAAGTTTACTTGTGCTCATTTCAAATGGTGCATTTGGCCTCCATTTCATCTTTAGGTTCTTCTTGAATCCATTTTCCATCAGATTTTGCCAGTGACCTCCATTTCTGCACACTACTCTTCAATTCTATTCCTTATCCTTCCTTTGACCCAGCTGCTCCTTCTTTTATCTTTCAAATCACCAGGCTCCCCTGGGTTTCCTCTGGGCCTCCCTTCCTGTTTTTCCACTGTAGCTCTTTCTCTTCTCCTTGGCCATTAACTGTTAAAGAACCCATCTCTATATGCACAGTAGCCCAGGACACTGCCTAGTCCTAAGGGTTTGAATGCCCACACACCATGCCTCCTGTTCTGTAAATTTTCTGACCAGAATCACCAAGTACTTCTCTTGAGACTCCTGAACTTCTTAAGAACAACTCTTTGCCAAAAGACAGAGCTCTTTGATTGACCCTTGTCTTGCCCATCTCAATAAGCAGCAATCTTGACTCCTGTCCCCTATGTCACATGCTGTGGCTCCATCACCAACACTGCCTTGATTCTAATCAGTTTGCACAAACTCCACTTTACCGCCTTATCTCAACCAACGTCTGTTCCTACCAGGATCAATGCATGGCCCTCCTACCTTCCCTAACATGGGCCACTACAGAACAACAAAACCAGAAACCTTCCCACCAACAATCAGAGTGATCTTTATAAGATGTAACTTAGAATACTCACACTCATAACCCCACTCAGATTCTCCATTCGCTTCATACCATACTGAGTGAATGCTTAAGTGACAGACAACAGGCAGACTAGAGACTGAGGACAGAGACCGAGGGAGGCAGGGATGGAGGGAGAGACAAACAGATAAAGACAAAAAGATCAAAGATTGTGTTTCACATAAAATTGCCAGGATCCAGGCAAGAATGAAAAGTCAGGAAGGAGTCTAGCCTTCCATATTCTCTTGGGGTATGTTAAAGTGACACTTTCTAACAAGGTATCAAACTGCTAACCCAATTTTCCAGGGTACTTTTATCATGCATCCAAAGCTTGGTTAGGTTCCTGGTGATCGAGAAACATTTTAACCTAATTAGGCAATGGAAAAGCAAGACCAAATATAAAAAATACTGAAACAAAGCTTGAATCAACACAGGTCACTGGAAGGGGCAAGGCTTTAGATGGTTGGACAGTAAGGGGCATGATCACCGGCGCCTTGTCTCCCGAGAACAGCAACAGAACCTGCAGCACTGCGCTCGAGCACTGGGGCATGCCTTCATTGACCAGTTTACCTCCCTAGAGGTGTAGCACAACAATTACACAAATGCCACTAGCAATTATCTTCCACCAGCCATACAGACAATGAGAATGGAGAGACATTTTTAAGTTCAGAATAATGTACTGGCTTGCATATTTTTTCAAATTACTTCCAATCTGTGTCAAATATTCTAACTAGAGGTCTACTGCCATCTACTGTGAGTAAAGCTGCTCACTCTAAAGTGCCCCCTCCTACCCTACAGTTTAAGTAAGCACAGGCCAGTGAAAAGTGAAAAGCTTAGCCTATGTCTAAGATGCATAATACGAAAGTGATTGATTGAATGCTCTATTCCATTACATAATTACAACTGTGCCCCATTCTGTAAGATTTCAGATAAACTCAACATTTCCTTTGTTACATTATTCTTTTTTCTGTCATGTTAGGAAGAACCTGAGCACAGGACCTTAACACAATACACAGTAAACAACTTCCTGAGGGGTTTTGTTTTGTACTGTTTTTAATGGAGGCATAATCATCGATGGTAAACGTCCTCACTTTCATTAAAACCTTTCAGGAAGTCAGTTCACTAACCCTAATTATAGTATAATGTACAGTGACTGTGGCTTCTTTTATTCTAATTTATTCTAGTTTCCCTCTGTGATATTTAAGTATGAACAAATACCCAGGTTTAGCTACAAGCCTCACCTTTTTGAAAATGAGTGACTGTTTATCTCACTGAGGTAACCAGCAAATGAGTTCACAAAGAATCATGAGGAAGGCAGTCTCACAGTGTCATGTGGGTGAGGAGTTTCTTACCTCTCGTGGCTTGCTGGCAATGGCAACACTTCCATCTTTGTTGTATTTTATGGGTGATCCTCCTTCTTGTACCAGGGTCCCATACCCTGTGCTGGTGTAGAAGGCAGGGACTCCAGCCCCACCAGCACGGATCCTCTCTGCAAGTGTGCCCTACGAATAAGCAACCAGCATCTGTGAGACATCTCCAAAGCGCACTTGCGATGGGGAGTACAGACACTGTTAGATGTGGTTCCCACTCTGTAGAGGCTCACCATCTTGCAAAGTGTGCAGTAATGTACGTGCTCCGAAATCAACAAGCTGAAGCATCAATTCAGAGACAATAACCATTCCATTCTCAATCTACGTTCAACCACAATTGTTCCCCTGTCTAGTCATGCTTTCAGTTTCCAGGCTCCACCCACTACTGATCTCTTGACATCATAATCTACAAATGTCTACTTTCATATTTTTAAATCCAATTTAAAATTAATTATGGAAATGTAACTATGCATATATTTTAAATGTTAAATGTTATTTTACATTTAAGTGTAAACTCAATATTTTTATCATTAATAGCAATGGGTATGCCAGGTAGGGTGAAAAATATTTGTAATTTTAACACCTGGGAGGCTGAGGCAAGAAGATTACCATAAGTTTGAGGTAGGCATGAGTTATATAACAAGTACTAAGTCAATCAGGGCTATGTAGCTGTCTCAAAAAAATTCAAATTTACTTTAAAATGTATTTTAAATCACTTTCAGAAATGTTTTATTTAAGAAATTATCTAAGCAAGGAAAATTCAAGCAAAAGCTGGCACATGGGTAAACTAGCTTTAAAAATCTGGGAATGGAACAGCAAGATGGCTCACCAGGTATATGCATTTGCTACATGTGGGGATTTGAATGAGAATGGCCCCCACAGGCTCACATACTTGAACACTTCCCAGTTGGTGGAACTATTTGGGAAGAACTAGGAGGTGTGGCCTTTGGAAGAGGTGTGTCACTGGGAGTGGGCTTTATGGTTTCAAAGGTCCAGCCATTCCCAGTGAGCTCTCTCTGCCTCCTTGAGGATAAGAATGTAAGCTCTCTGGCACCAAGCCTTCCTGTCTGCCTGCTACTGCCTCCATGCTCCCCGCCATGATGTCCATGGACTCTGACCCTTGGCAAGGATGCACCCCAAATTAAACAGTTAAACATTCTCTTTCCATACGCTGCCTTGATCCTCGTGTTTTGTCACAGCAATAGAAAAGGAACCAAGACACCACAGGAGCCTAACAGGCGGACCTCAAACCCACAGTGGAAGGAAGGAGAGGAACAATTCTTGAAAGTATCCTCTGACCTCATTGGTGCACATGACAAGCACATGCCTACACACACACACACACACACACACACACACACACACACACACACACGCCCATGCACACACACACACGCAAACACACAACTAATAATAATAAATTTAGACATACATTTACAATTTTGTAAAAAGCTAGGTTTTTTGTGTGTGAGAGTGCTGTGAAAGCATGCATGTGAGCGCTGTGACTCTGGGAATGTGAGAGCTGTGACACTGTGCCTGTGTGTGCTGTGACACTAGAAAACTAGGTTTTTTTTTACAAGTTCAAATTTTGTTTCACCATAGGAACAGGTATACGTGAAGGTTATTTGTGTCTCCTGATGGTCTTCCTTCCTTCTCCCCTATCCCTTGTACTGAAACCACTTCTGGGGTGCCACTACACCATGCTTACTAGACAGCCAATTAGCTAATCAGAAGTCAGAATTGACATATCGACATAGTTATCAATGACACTGTTTACACTATCCCAACCTGAGAACTCTGTACTAACTGGGGTCTCTGAATGCTTAACAAAGAGACTAACAGTCGGGATGAGCTACCTGAGTACATGGAATGCTCTGAAGAAAGGGGAACGTCATATTAGTTGAAGTCCTCAGCTAACTTGTCTCTGCTCCACCAAATAGACATGTGACCCTATTTGCACTGTATTTTAAGCCAACAACATTCAAAAACTTAAATCATTAAAACAGTCACAATAAAACCCCTCATTTTGAAATATTTTTCGTTTACCCTTCTCAAACACTCTCTCCATCTCTCTGCCCAGTGCCAAAAGCCTGCAAGGAGAATATATAGGAAGGCAAGACCCCTTCAGGTGTCACCTTCCCTACCCAAAAGGAGTGCCAATCCCTTCACTTCAGCAGTGTTCCTCCCATCCCAGCCCTGAAGCTGCAAAGGAAGATGGGAGAGGAAGGGTGTGCCACTTGGTTGAGAAAGAATCACTAACTTCTTCTAGTTTAAAGAAAAATTTAGGACGTATTAAGGAAGTTCCTCTCCCATGGATGTGGCCTCTGACAAAATAGAGATAATGAGTAAGAATAAAGGTTCATCTTCAATAACTACACAGCCTAGATGATACACGGTGCCTCAGCTAACAACACATGAAAGCTACAGGAGATGGTCTAGACTGTGTGTCCCTTAAACACTGAAGTTGAAACACTAACCTTCAATGTGACAGGGGTATGAGGGGATAGTTAAGAAGGAAATAACCGCCGGGCAGTGGTGGCGCACAACTTTAGTCCCAGCACTGGGAAGGCAGAGGCAGGTGGATCTCTGTGAGTTCAAGACCAGCCTGGTCTACAAGAGCTAGTTCCAGGACAGCCTCCAAAGCCACAGAAAAACCCTTTCTCAGAAAAAATAGATGGAAATAACCTGTATATATAGGCCCTGTGGTTATAAGAAAAAGACACCAGAGAGCTCACTTTGTTCATCTCTGTGCCTCAAGAGGACAAAGCAAGACATCAGCCATCAGAAGCCAGGAAAAGACTCACTAGGAACTGGACTGCTGGCTGATGTTGGACTTCCCAACTCTTAACTGTGAGAAACAAATTGCTGTTGTTTGAGATACCCAACCTATGGAGGGATTTTATTTATTTATTTTTTTATAGAAACCCAAGGAGACTAGAAATGTATGTTTGTTCATTCACAAAACTTTAAATGAAGGTTGAATCATATTGAACACAGAGCAGCACTTTAACAGGGACAACAGTGCTGTGGGTAACCAGATGTGACAGTCCCCTATTCAGGCCTTTTCTAGACTAGCACATACCTGATCATTTTCTTTTGCAAAATTTGGCTACTTTCTACCCTTATCGACTTGGCAAAATTCTAAAGAAACATTACCCTGAGGCAGAATGGTGAGCTCAGTTCCAGAGGAAAGGCAGAGTGTGACAAAGTGGAATACCGACACATTGGGCATGTAGAACCTTGCTATCTCCCTAAAGGGCTTCAAAGGGTGCCTTCAATGGATTGGGAGACATGGAAAACAAGTACAGACTTGCTGCTTGAATTGCACAAATGGATGGCTCTGAGCCCAGTGTTTCCTCTGTGAACAGTGTCACCCTTCAACAGGCTTCACTCTCCAGACATGAGTCAGCAAGACTTGACCATTCAGAAATTTCCAACACCAAGATTCATAAAAACTGACTTTGAGGACAATCTCAGACATTTCAGCAAGTCCTTTTGTTTGCTTCTGGTACACTGTACATTGAGTGTCATATTAAAAATTTATCTAGCAATGTGAATGTTTTCTACTTAGAAATACCTAACTTTTCATAGTCACAGAAAAATGTCAGTCCTCTAGAATAAACAGGAGCAACCCAAACACAAAGTCCCTTGATTTGATGAAATAGCATCTCTCTCTCTGGAAAAACAACAAACATTTAAGAAGGTAGAAAGGACCGTTTCTATAAAGTGGTACTGTGAAACAAATCAGAGGCATTTCCTCACCTGAGGGGTCAACTCCACTTCTAATTCTCCTGACAAGTACTGTCGCTCAAATTCTGCATTTTCTCCCACATATGAAGAGACCATTCGTTTTATCTGTTTGGATCGAAGTAAAAGACCCAGGCCAAAGTTGTCAACCCTAAATAGAAAGAAAGTTGATAATCATGAGATCATCTACAGAACAATGTTAGCACACATTTTGTTGTTGTTTTTTTTTTTTTAAGACCTGAAACTTTAATAACTCGGAGGGAAAGAAATCTCTTCTTCTAAAGAATTCTTTGGAAGGCAGAGGTAGGTGGAACTCTGTGAGTTCGAGGCCAGCCTGGTCTCCAGAGCCAGTGCCAGGATAGGCTCCAAAGCTACACAGAGAAACCCTGTCTCGAAAAACCAAAGGGGGGAGGACAATGAAACTACAATAAGAAAGACCCTGCAATTCTCTTAGATACAGGAGCCTGTGTTTCCTCCCAGCTGTTCGCTTTCATGTTCTAACTGCTCCTCCCACAGCTTGTGTTGTCTGCAAAATTCACTCATCCTGCAATCCCATACTGAATGCTTACTCTACACTAGAGATGGGATGTCAGCTTCTGGGGCTACAGCCATGAGAAGGCCTGGCCCTGGGCCCTGTGTAGTTCTGAGAGTTCAGAGGAAATAAAGAATAAGTCTGTAATTAACACAGAGGGATGTGCTAAGTGGTGTCTGTACAGTATGTGATGAGAACATAGAAGTTGGAGGACCCAACTGGTGAAAGAAAGAGGGAAGAGAGTCCAGATGAGGGGAAAAGGTCATACAGAAGGTGAAAATAGATGGGAGCAGAAGGGAAACGGAGTTTGAGAACACAGTAAGAGATGGAGATCCTGAGGCATCTTCCTCAGAGCTCAGCGTGAACAGATGTGCTCTGGAGGCAGGACTGGGAGGAGGACCTGATCGTGATCTGCCTTGAAGGACTTCATCCTGAAGGACAGGAGATGATGAGCACTGCTGAAAGGTGATAGGCTATACAATGAAGTCAATTAAAAGCTTGGCATGGTCCAAACAATGCTGAGTATCTGAATTAAAGTGGAGGCCACAGGGATGGAGAAGAGGCACTGGGAGACGGTTCATCCGAAAGATGGGTTGCCATGGTGTAGACAGACCCCCTGCAGAATTTTAGCTTTGACTATGGAACCTAACAGAAGAATGAGCTAGAGGAAATGAATCTTAACCACTAGAGACATCCCACATGTTTTGACAAGCAAAGGTGTTAAGTATGGCAGCCTATGTGACAAACCACTAATATTCTTTCAGCAACCACCTGCCTCCACTGTTATCAAGCTTATCAGTGCCCATTCCAGCTCACATGGCTCCTTCCTAATTGAAACCTTTTGTCTCACCTTCCCACAGCATCCTGCATACCATATCCCTCAAGGTGTGTAGATAACAAGAAACTGTTAATCATTCAGTAACCTTTGCTTCCTATCCGCCAGAGGCATACAAATATGTATATTGTTTGTATTTAGTATCTGTGGTGGTTTGAAGGAAAATGGCCCCTAAAGGGAGTGGCACTACTAGGAAGTGTGGTCTTGTTAAAGTGGGTGTGGCCTTGTTGGAGAAGTGTGTCACTTTGGGGACAGGCTTTGAGGTCTCTTTTGCTCAAGCTTTGCTCAGTGTGACACTCAGTCTACTTCCTGTTGCCTACAAGATGTAGGACCAGGACCAGCATGTATGTTTCCATGTCCCATCTTGATGATAATGGACTAAGCCTCTGAAACTGGAAGCTGTCACCTCAATTCCATGTTTTCCTTTAGAAGAGTTGCCATGGTCATGATGGCTCTTCAGAGCAATAGAAACCCTAACTGAGTATCTTTTTTCCAAAAGAACATTAAAGGCTAAGTAGCATGTACTTTTTCCACCTGGTCAGCTTCCATTAATGGGCTCCAATGAAGTCTGTGAGTGAAATCACACACAAGGTTAACTTCACCTAGCTTAGGACACAGAGGGAAGTTTGCAGGTCTTTGGCTTCTCATCTATCCAGTCTTCAGCTAAGTATGAAACACAATAAGTGAACCACTGCCCAGAATGAATCCTGCTTTGAAAACTACTTCAAAGTTAAAGTAGTTAATAATATACTTTTCCACTAGAGGTCTCCATATAACTAAAGATGCTGTCTTTCTAGTGAGAAAGGCTTTCTAGTCTTGCTCCCCTCCTGTTTTCCTTCTCCTCCCTCATCCCTCCTCCTTCCTCCCTCCATCTTCCTCCCTCCTCCTCTTCTTCCTCCTCCTCTTTTCCCCAGACCCTTCCTCATTTGTTTGTTTCTAGCCTGCCCCTAAGGCCCAGGCCCCACTTCAGGTTAGCAATTCTCTTCCAAATTTAGCTTCTCTTTCAGCCTATCCAGGCATGCCTGAGAGCAGTTCTCTCCTTAGAAATGAGCAGGACAAAATTAGAGAAGTGGTCTTTCACTCTCCCGACCAAGCCTATCAGGACATCCTGACTCCAAAACTGTTCAATGATCAAACCATCCCTCACCCTCATTTCCTGGGCACCAGAGGGCCCTCGTCTGCCTCTGCTTCTGTCCCTACAACACACCTCGAACACGGCAGCCAAGTAACACCTTATAAAACACAGAACTGAGAGAACAGGGCTCTGCTATGCTCAAAACCTTGCAAGGCATTATTTATTCATAACAAAGCAAAGAGCTCTAGAGCAGCCCACAAGGCCCACTCTTTGCATGGCCTCATTCCTTCTAGGCTCTCTGCCCACTTCTCTACCTCCTTATTGCCCTCTTGGCTCCCCTAGCCATGCCAGGAATGTTTCCCTAAGGGCCTTTGCACTGGCTTTCCACTGTCTCTGAAACTCCCTCCATAGAGCTCCTCCCTCAGCCCACTTCCTTCATGTGGGTTCAGATGCTACCTACCTTCATGCCACTCTGACCACTGCACTGATGACTGACAGCTGCCTCTCTACTGGGAGGGTACCAATCTTCTTGCTCGATCTTTTTCTTTTTTCCAGGTTACATAATGTTCTAATGTGTTAGAAAATGTGCCCATTTTTTATGCTGACTACCTATTATCTGTCTTTCCCAAACAGAAGAAAGTCTGTGACAAGGGCCCTGCTGTTGGTTTTGGTGGAGGTGGTGTGGTGTGATGGTGGTGGTGGTGGAGTGATGGGGTGGTGGGGTGGTAGTGGTGATGGAGTGGTGGTATGGCGGTGTGGTGGTATGGTGGTGTGGTGTGATGGTGGTGGTTTTTTGGTTTTTGTTCTTTTCTTTCCCTTCTGCATCCCAAGCACCTGTCAGCTATACAGCACATAAAGAGGACTGCAGAAATACTTGGGGAGCACTTGTTAAAAGAATTTACTGCTGCATTCCATTTGCCCCTCCCAGCCAGAGCTTCTCTAACAGGAATGAACTATTCTAGGTTCATTTCTACAGCTGTGATTAAATAGCCAGACAAAAAGCAACATAGAGGGGAAAGTGTTCATTTATTTAGCTTGTAATTCCAGGTTATGGTCCATTACCACAGGAAAGACCAAACAGGAAATTGAAGCCTCATATCCACACATCCACAGCCAAGAACAGGAGTAAACGAAGGATCCTTGCTTGCTCTCAGCTAGCTTTCTTCTCTCCTCTTATATGCTTTATGACCCCTGACTATGAAATGGCACCACCACCATGGGGTGTGTCTTCACCCAATCAAAACAATCCCTCAAAAATATGCCCACAGTCCAAACTGATCTAGATAATTCCTCACTAAGAGTCTCTCCCTAGGCTGGGCAGTGGTGGCACATGCCTTTAATCCCAACACTCAGGAGGCAAAGGCGGGTGGATCTCTGAGTTTGAGGCCACCTGAATTCCAGGACAGCCAGGACTATACAGAGAATCCCTGTCTGGGGGAGGGGGCTGTGGAGGGGATGATTCTCTCCCCCTTGTAATTCTAGGTGGTGATGAGTTGACAGTGACAGTCAAAGCTGACCAGCACAATCACTTGTCCCTGACAATCCACAGTTAGCTTCCAGTCTGTTTGGTATCCAGCCTATGCCTTGAACCAGGAGCTCCCCTGCATTGACTTCTGCTAGGGCTGGGCCAAGGGGCATGCACTATCAGGGGTGAGGTCCAGAGTACAGTGATGTCAGGATCTGTAGTCCTCAGGCTGTCTTCCCTTCTATTTACAAAACTCCTAAACACTGGTTCTCTTAAGGGCTCCTATGTGAGGGCTGATGGCAACAGTACCTCTCTGCTTTCCCTCCAGGGTTACTTAAAGGTCATGTTGTTTTTCTTTAGCTATAATCAGTCCTTTTAAAGGAGTCCCTTTGGTAAGGTCCTCAATTACCAGTGATAATATCCAGAGCTATGACTAATAAAATCATCATCATAAAACAACCCATAAAGGTGGATACAGGCCATTTGTTTTCTGTAGTTTTAAATATCTGAAGCTACCTCCAAGCCTACAGAGTCCATTCCAAAAAAAAAAAGAACATAGTTAGTCATTCATTGACTTGGAAATTTTTCTGACCACTCTTTCATACCTCTTTGTTTATTTTTGCAACACATTACACATTTTAACCTGGCTCTATTTAAGGATGACCTTCTGTATTTGTTGTTCTTGGCTCTGGGGCTGACTATGTATTTGCCCTTTGTTTTAGTTGTCTCCTGGCATAGCAACCAGGCAATGCCTAAGACTCTGGAAAATTGGGCCAGAAAAAGAGTTAGTGTTGGCCTTGAAAAATCTGCTAGATAGATAGCTTATCATGAGAATGTGTATTTCTATGGTGTCTCTAATTCACAAACTCATCAAATAAGTTTGTTTGATATAATAGTATCATCACTGATGATTAAAAAATGAGTAAACTACATCCCTAAAATCTAAGCGCTCACGATATAAAGACTGAAGATGTGTGCCCGTTGGCAAATGGGAAACACAGCATTTCTAACAGAAATCCTATATGAAAAGCCTTTGTGTGCCTTAATACTGAAGGTGATGCTGATAGACTCTCCAACAGGTGGCACTGCTTGCCATCAGGAGCCAACATTCTCTATTTCTAGAATTTCTAAAGAAAAAAAAAAAAACTGAATTTTATAGGACTTCAGACATTTTAGGAGTTTAAAAAAACTCTAAAAGCCACAACTCTATAGAGTGTTAATGTAAACCAAAATGGATATTGCACGAAATATATCCATCTTCTGAAAATAGTTCATTTCTGAATCTGAAATTTAAATTCTTGAAGGCAGGAAGTGGTGGCGCATGCCTTTCTTCCCAGCACACGAGAGGCACAGGCAGGTGAATCTCTTGAGTTCAACAACAGCCTGGTTTATAGAGCAAGTTCTAGGACAGCCAGGACTACACGGAGGAACCTTGTGTATTTTTGGTTGTGAGCCTAGGCTTTAACAACTGAGCCATCTCTCCCCCTTACCAGCTGCAGCACTCAGGAAAGTGAGCCCTGCACCTCACCTGAGCAGCACAGCAGAACTGACCCTATTGACAGGGGTACGGCTGTGAGCATGAAATATCTGGACCATCCCTCATCTTCGATATAGTGGTGTGGATGAGGTAGAGATGCCCTCCACCTCTCACAGGCAGTGAGGGGTAGAGGAGCTGACCCTGAGGTCACAAGAGCAGGAGAGCTGTCCCTGCCCCTCTCTAGCTGCAGCACCTTGCCTGGGCAACTGGCCTTGATGATTCAGGTTTAGGAGTGCCAACCCTGAGGGTGTGAAAGCAGGAGAATTGGCCCCACTATTAGTATTCAGGCCTCTGTAATGGCCTGTCCTTGGGGATCTGACAGGATAAGTCCTCAGCTGCAGCCCCTAAGAGCACCACCTGGTCCCAGTTCTCACCTCCCCCCCCCTCTCTCTCTCTCTCTCTCTCTCTCTCTCTCTCGCTCTCTCTCTCTCTCTCTCTCTCTCTGTGTGTGTGTGTGTGTGTGTGTCTCCCTCCCTCCCTCCCCCTCTCTCTCTCTCCCTCCCTGCTTCTCTTTGTGTGTCTGTTTCTCTCTCCCCCCTCTCTTTCTCTCTCTGCCATTCTCTTTTCTTCTGCCACTCCTGTCCCCAGAGGCTGGTCTCCCTTCTCCCCTTCCCTCTTTCCCCCAATAAAAAACCCCTCCACCCAAGCTTTGTCCTATGGCATCTTTCTCTTGAGCACCACTTTTAGGGTAGGGCCCTCAACGGGGGCTCTGCAAAGTCCACCAAATCTTCCTGGAGCACCACTTTTTAAATTAACACAATTAACACCCACCCTTTGTTCATTGCTGCAAGGGGTGAAGGGGGGTGTGAATTGAAGGGCAATGCTGGAGAGCTCACTCTGGTGGTGAGGACAAGAGAAAGCTGGTGGGCTGACCAGCCCTGCAACTACTCAAGCCCAGAACCAGGGTTATGAGTTGGCCCACTCCAACATCCACCCCTTCTATGATCTGCTGGAGCACATGAAGGAGCTGGTCTTGCAGACCCAAAGCAGCAGGATCTCTATGACACAGGGCAACAACAGGATATCCAAGAAGAGTCCCAGTGAGGGACCAGCATTGATAGTGTAGCAGAAACCAGAGGCCTTGAAGTAGACTAATGACTCTTTGCAATGAATACTTGCAATTAAAGAAATATAGATGAAAGGGTTAGCTGTGTGACTCACTGTGTCACACTACAGCTTCCATGATGACATTTTTTTCTTTTCTTTTTTCTCTTAAATTTTATGGGGGGGGGTTCTCAAAGGTAGGGGGCAGATATGAAGGCATGGGGAAATGGGATCAAGATGCATTGTGTGAAAGACACAAAGAATAAAAAGAAAGTTTAAAAAACTTAATCAAAAAGAAAACAACAACAAAAAACCCTCTTGAATATCTGTTTTCTAAAATCTCACTTATTGGCAATAATTATTTTTAAAATATAAGTATTGGAGAAACTTTATTTCCTTCACTTTCATTTAGGAACATGTTTTAATCTCAATCATACAATTTTAATTACTCTGATAACACAAAAGTACAAAAATAAAAGAAAATGCTATATTTAGATGTAAGGTTCAGTCATCCCATGGTACAAATAAAACCTTTCATGAACTAAGCACATACATGTAAGTATGCATCTCAGGACATCATTAGCCCTTCCCAAACAAAATAACAAAACCCTTCAGAATGCTCACAGTCAAGACAACATGGCCAGTATTGGCTCAGTGAAGTCACCAGAGCTGTGACTGTATAAATAAAAAAGGAATAGAGCATAGCCCAGAGGTCACTAGCGTTTAACTCCAGGTTTGAAGACACTGGCACACAATTAGGATTCTTATTTTGAGTGAGGGATTACTCACTGCACCCTCAAAATTACCCTGTACCTGACTAGTGTGTTGTACAAGAAATCAGAAGTATACATTATTTAGTATTCTCTGATAGTATGAACCTTTCACATATAAGCAGGGAGTCATTTATATCCCATTCTCTTATATCTATAACCCTAAATGCTTTTGTCAGGAAGAAAGTATCATATATATCATAATATATCCATTTTTCTATTGGCTCTGCAGTTAAATGGTTGACATATACTTTTATTGTCAACTTTTGGCTCACACTGATTTATAACTCAAAGTTCATCAAAAATCAATGAATTCTCAGCTTTTTCAACCTTTTAATCAACAATATTAAATATTCAAATGTGTAATTGTAACCAGCGTTTCTCACCAAGGCTAACAGTTAATACCTCATACAAGAGTGTTATATAGCAATTTCCTCTGAACTGAAATACTCACTCCATGCTGGAAGGAAACTCATAAAAACACAGAAAATTTTAAAGAGAAACTGTTGAGACTCAGGAAACAAACAAACAAAAACTCACAAGTCTCAGGGAGTTCCTGAAACTTAGCAGATTCACAAGGCCCCTTCCCACCCCAAGGTTATATAAGTAGTAAGGACTTCTGAGAAGATTCTCCAACCTGTCAGTCTCCCTGCAAGTCATGAAGAGAGCTCCAGGGCTCCAACTTTCATGAATCATCGATAGGGTGGGCTTTTGTTGATATAGCCGCCTTTGAATGGTCTATGTGCTGGCAATTAACCCCTTCCCATATTCCTGTGAGTAACTCCAATAAACTCTCTGGTTCATCAAGCTACATGTCCATGTTATCATTACTCTGGTCTACCTTCAGTTCTCTATCTGACTTGAGGAGACATTTGTTCACATCTCCATATGAAAAGTGGCACACAACACAAGGTCAGTGTTTTGAGAGACTTTTGCAGATCCTTCATAAAATAATGAACTCTTGCCATCACTCACTTCCAATATAATCTGCACTGTTTATTCTCAAAGCCTTTATAATAATAAGCCAACTTGTTAATTCAAAATATCTTAAGATTGTTAAAATCTTTCATCCATTTGTCGAAAGGGTGCCAATGACTTACTGTTTTGCACACAAATAGTTTTTTCTGACATCATTAAATGTACCAGCATGTGCATGTCTTTTTAAAACAATAACTTATTATGACTCTTAATTTACAATCCTACTGCTAATTTGATAGTGTGTTCTTCACATCCCATCAAGACCAGCAACAGTATATATGATCAATGTATCTCTTTATATAGCATCTGCAGTAATGATATAGCTAAAAGAAAGAACTTGAAACATTTCAAACTGATGTCTGCCTTGCTATATACATAATGGTCTATAATAACAAGAAGCATGAGGGGCCATCTTTAAATTTTTTTATTCTGACTTTTTTACACTTATTTTACTTTTAAAAATGAAAGCATATCAGATAAATATATAAGCCACTTACATATTTATTTAAAGTAAAGCAAAGCTTCTTTACTTACGATTGTGAACACAGCATCAAAAAAATACGTGAATAAGTGTAACTTTGTTGGGCCTGATCGCACAGCCCTGCAACTCCACCTACTTCAGAGGCTGAGTCAGGAATTCAAGATCTCCCTGGGCTACACAGAAAGCCCAGGGATAAGCTGGGAGATTTAGTAAGATCTTGTATCAAAATCAAAAGTAAAAAAAGAAGGTTGGTGATACAGGCCAGAGGTAGACCACTTGCCTAGCATGCCCAAGGACCTAAGTTCAAGCACAGTGCTTACAAGTTAAGGAACAAAAACAATAAACTTACCTTCCATTCTTGCCCTTACTCCCTACTTTTCTGTTTTGTGAGAGTAGAATCTCACTGCTTTGCATACAGATCATGCTGGCATTGAATTTATTATCCTCCCCAGTCTACCTAGTGATGGGGTTACAATCAAGTGCCACCATATCTAGCTAGCTGATATCTTTTTTTTTTCTTTTTTTTTTTTTTTTTTTTTTTTTTTTTTGGTTTTTTGAGACGGGTTTTTGTAGACCAGGCTGGCCTCAAACTCCCAAGTGCTGGGATCAAAGGCATGGGCCACCACCACCCAGCTGGCCACTCTATCTTTTGATGACTGAATATATTACTTAAATGTGGAGGCAAATTTCATTGATAGATTTTTCATTTTTTGATAATTTCACATGTGAATATACTATTTACACTATTTCTACCACCACCCCCATCCAGCTTCTCCCTTCCCCTCACACTACTCCCTCTTGGATTTATGACCACTTCTTCTGTAACTTACAGATAGTCAGACAGACAGACAGACAGATCCTACTGAGTCCATATATCAGGGGTGATGGGATGATCGATGATAAACTTTTCAGGTAACATTTTTAAACCAGCACTGTCTTCCTAGTACGTCTTTCCACTCACCCAGCATTGTTGCTGACTGCAGTTAGATCTTTCACGCCAGTCTTCAATAAAGCTCCTATAAGATTTTCTGGAATTCCACACAGCCCGAAACCTACAAAACCCAAAAGGGGAACAATCTGTGCAGAGGCAGTGTTCTTTCAAGATACATACGTTATCATTCTCAATAGAAGAGAAAGCATTTTGTTAAATGTAATAAGAAAAACACACAACTGTACCTTACCAACTCACTAAACAGCCATCAGTCATATCACTGGATCTCAGTGTTTCAAACCATTATATATCACCAGACACCACTCTCAAGGCTTTGAGTAAGTTAAGGCCAAATGTAATCAGCTTATATATGACATGCACTAATAACCCCGTCTTCATAATACAAACAATATCCAGCTGTTCATTTAAACATGCATTTTTATTGGGGGGGGTTGACACAGGGTTTTTCTGTGGCTTTTGCGGCTGTCCTGGAACTAGCTCTTGTAGACCAGGCTAGTCTCGATCTCACAGAGACCCTCCTGCCTCTGCCTCCCAAGTGCTGGGATTAAAGGCATCCGTCACCACCGCCCGGCTAAACATGCATTTTTATACATCTGAATTAGTATAATAACTTTCATTTATTACATCTTTAAAATTCTTCCAAGAGTGTAGAATTTAAGATGGACACTCAATAACTTCCCAATTCGAATGAATGGAAAAAAAGAAAAAAAGAAAAGCCCTAAAATAAGTTCGGATTTCATATAGAAGAATCAGGAAGTTAAGTGTAATTAAATCTGAGGCAGTGATTACAAAAGACATCCCAAAGAGGTAGCAGAAATAGAATGGGTGGGGGCAGGGGGTCAACAACAGAGAGACCCCATGCTCTTCAATTTAACAAAATAGGAGCAATACAGAGTGGCTAAAGCAGTGGTTGTCAACTTCCCTAATGCTGCGACCCTTTAATACAGTTCTTCATGTTGTGACCACCCCCAGCCATAAAATTATTTCATTGCTACTTCATAATGTTGCTATTGCTATGAATTACAATATCAATATCTGTGTTTTCCAATACTCTTAGGTGACCCCTGTGAAAGGGTCATTCAACCCCCCACCCCCACCCGCCCAAGAAGTCACAAAAGCTATTGGGCAGGAGTATCTAACAAGATGAGGCATGTGCTTCAATTCCCAAGGATTTAGGGATCCATCACAGCTCCTGATAAGATACCAGCACCTGAAACCTCCAGCTTTTCAATTACAATCAGAAAAAGAAAATGGAAAGGAAAAGTAGAGTAATAGAGCACTAATCTTTCAGGAAGAGACTGTAATAGAGCAGCAGGTGTCCTGGTGTACCGTAAGCCAGACAGTGAATGAGTAAGAGCTGAGTGATAGACTAATTGGCACTTTGAATCTATATGGCTTTGTCACACATTTTCCTAAGAACTTAAGAACATTACCATCGAAAGGAAAACGGTCCCTTTACTTACCACCAACCAGCAAGGTTGCACCATTAGGGATATCTTTTACAGCTTCCACTGGATCTGTGTAAAATTTGGTGTGGTGACGAGTACTGACAGAAAAGTAGCAGACACACCCCTGGAACATTAAAAACATTCCCAGTGAGCAATCATTTGCAGCTTCACTTTAAACAAATAGCAAATGATCCCATATACATGTAGATATATGTGTGTGCATAGACATGTGCATATATATAATAAGTTCATTATTCCTTTTAGCATTCTGTATTTTTATGTATGTTTACAGTATATATTTATATATGTTTACAGCACATAACACCCCATCCTGATACAAGTATACATTGCAAAATGACTAACTGGAGCTCTCTAGAACAGCATCACCTCACACGTTGCTCTTTTGTGGTTAAGAGCCTTTCACCACTACTCAGTGTTTTCAAGTATAGTTACTGCTACTGCTCATCACCATAACAGATGATAGATTCCCTAAACTTGTTTCTTCTGTCTAACTGAAATGGTACATCTTTTGCCTAATATCTTCCCAAGGCCTTCATCTTTTAACCTCTGTAATGCCATTTTACTGTTCCTCTGGTAAGATTCTATCCGTGAAGAGTTGGGATTTAATTGGTTCATCTTGGCCAGGATGGACATGCTCTACTGACAGGTTCTCACCAGGTTCCCCGATGATCTACATCTCCTATGACACAGGGGAAGGTCCAGCTGTGTCACTTGCGACCATCACCCAAAAGAATAAAAGCAGATAACTCACACCATATACTGGGATGCAAATTTACAATATCAGTGTCATCAGTAACCCATTTCTCATAACCTCACTTTCTAATAAGTTGGCAAATCCTGAGAACCTACCTGTGCCAAGTTCTAAGTCTTTTATCTGATCTACATTACGGTATGACTACTGCTCTCTGGGGAATTAAGTACAGTGTGTGGTAAGTTCCAAGTGCTAGGAGAACTCTAAGGAGACACGAAAGAGCAGCATGCCAGAGGACTTACTTCCCAGAAGCTGAAGGCAAAGCAGCAAACTGTCACTACAGAGAGGAGGCCTTGGTGGGCCACACCACAGAACTACGTGGGCACGCTATGATCTCTAGATGGTGTGTCACCTCCAAAGCCCGTGTCAGAGCTGGATCCCCATGTCAACAGTGTTGAGAAGTAGTAGGACTTTCATGAGGTGTGTGAGCCTGCACAAAGCTGTGAATGCTACAGGGTTCATTCTTGCAGGAGCGAGCAAGTTCCTGCTCTTGCTGCACTGAATTGCTGACTGCCAAAGCTAGGCTTTTTCTAAAGAGAGGCTACCTGTCCTACATACCCACTTGTCTTTCTGCTCCTCTGCCATGTTGTTCAGCAACATAATACTCTCACCAGATACAGTCACCAGGTCTAACAAGTGAGATGGACCTTACATGAGTCATCCAGTAAACATCCATAAAACCAGTTCTAAGTTATTGCCCTGTATGTTCCATCCACAATATGGGCATGTGAAAAGGAGGAAACTGATTGTATGGTAACTAATGAGCCATATTAACAGTACTTTATTTCCATTATATATTTAACCTGAAGAAAGAGGAAGTGGAGAGAATAACAGCTGAACCCTGATATACTGCCATTTTAACAAGCCCAGCTATAAAGTCACACCCAACAGAATTTCATACAGCTACAACCTGAGGTGGTCAAGATCTATCATTCCTTCTTTCCTCTAAAAACTATTTTCCTCTTTTTTTTCTTAAAGTAGCTGTAGTTGGCACAAAAGATCATTTAAGGGATATACACTGAGAGTCAAATGAGCGATAAAAAGGTTGAGGTTACACACATGATCACATGACTTCTGTCCGTAAGTTTCTATTTTGGTCAAGGTCAGGTCAGGAGTTTGCACACTGCCCAAAGCCTGGGACATAAGTAGAGAGAGGGACAAGGGCTTTGAAAGGGCTTAACCACAAAGACGTTTCTTCTCTTCCTGTCTTCAACTAGTAAAGATTCATATGCTTCTGTTTAACACACACACACACACACACACACACACACACACACACACAATCAAAATCTAAATCTTTAAACAAACAAAAGTTCCATAGATTGAATAAGCAGGACATAAAAGTATTCCACATAAACTTGTGGATGCAATATACTCAAAACTGTAATAAAGAACAGTGACTGGTCTTGGGTTTGGGCTTCTCTGTCACAGTCTTTCCACCAGTGTGCTCTTCCATGTTTTCTGAAAGTCCTCGGTTGTTCTACCTATTATTTACACACAACAAATTTTTATGAGAGTGTAACTCTGCTGTCATTATCTCTGCCTGAGAATAAACACTCCAGGCCTCAGCAGGATACAGAAGAAAATGAAAGAATTCATCTACACCCAGACAACCTGAAAGGTGAGGTCACCTTGAACTGCTTCTCTGTGGAATTCCATAGATAGAAGACTTGGCTCCCCATGCACCCTGAGAGCCTTCGAGGATTCAGAAGCAGCACAGAGCCACACACTTAGCAGGAACCCTTTGTTGTAGCTGATAACTAGTATCATCATAGCACTAATTAGCAGTCAGCACTAATTACCCAGCAGCTTGTCTCAATCTGAACTTCCCCTCTTCATAAAGAAAAGGAAAAGAAAAGAAGGCCATCAGAAATATTTTAGAAGAGGTGGAAGTTGCGCTGTTGCTGTGGTTCAGGAGCAGACTGCTTGCCTAGCAGGCAAAGGGCTCTGGGTTCAAACTGATGTGTGAGGTTGTTATAAGTGTATCCATACAACCAAAATTCAAAAAAAAGTAAATAAGATAAAGTAAGGTAAGCAGGCTGGAGAGATGGCTTGCAGAGGAGTAAGTTCACTGCCCAGCACCCACATCAGATGGCGCTCACAAAATTGTAGTTCTGAGGGATCCAAAGTCTGTAACTGTAGTTCCCAGGGATGCAATGATATCTAGCCTCAACAGGCACACATGCATGCATGTGGTGCATACAAACTCATGAAGTCATGCACACACAGACATAAATCAAAGTAAATTCTTAAAAACAAACAAACAGTAAGGTGACACATTTTCAGGGAATGTAATATGTGCTTACGACAATAAAGAACTTCATAAGCACTGGATTTTTTCCATTATTCATACATGTTAATATTTGTTAAGGTGTGCTTTATTGGCATTTGATATTTATGTACTATTTATGGAGAAACCAACTTTGAATAACATATTTTTCAATATCAGAAAATTAGCCACCTACTTTGGGAAATAGTATGATTTAACATGCTATATACTCAGGGATCAAAAGTACCCCCATGTCAAATTCCAGTTCAACCAGGACTGAACTGATGTGCTAGAATTATTTAACAACTGACTATGTCTTTGTAGAGAGGTGCTGTTTTGGTCAAAACCAGGTGAATGAAGAGCTTGCACAATGTCTAAAGATGACAATTGTCAATTGTCTCCCAAAGATAGTTAGAAAGAAGCTCTATGCCAGACTATAGGAACTTCCTAGGGGTTGCCATCCTCCTTTGGGAAATGGCACCCTTTTCCACTCCCAGCTAAGACAATGAAACCAAGCTGTCATTTATTGGAGTTTAATTTTTAACCTCACCACTCCCTGCCTGCCCTTCTCCAGTGATTTCACACAGAAAATTTGTAACATGGTCATCGCCATTGTAAATTAATCCATATATTTTTCAACATTTTTCAAAACACGGGTCTTAGCTTTATGATTACTTTTTTTCTTCCTGCATTCGTTCATTCCTTTCATTCTTTATTCTCCTTGACAATATCTCACTCTGTGGGTCTGGCTAGTCTCAAAGTCCTTGTCTTAAGCAATCCTTCTGCCTCAGTTCCAAGCAGCTGGGACTACAAACACACACTACTATCCAGCCGTATGTTCATCTTACTTGCAATCCAGTTTGCCAGTCTGCAAAATCGGATATTACTTGGCAAGCCTGGAAAATGGAGTGCAGACAGCGGGGCAATGAGGAAACCCAATGCCTGTGGCTAACTGTACCACAGAGGATCTTCAGAACCCAAAGCCCAGAAAGCCCTTAGAATCTGCAAGGCAGCCCTTTACAAGAAGCGTTTGGCTTTACTCTTTTAACCAGTTTCTCCCCTGCTCCTCAAATCACACTGTGTCTCTGACAGTCAAGAAATACCCACGTCATTGGCTGTAATTCCTAAGATTGGGCAACTGGGGGAAAGTGTATCTCTGATAACATCTACCTTTTTTGCTCAGATAGGCAGGTCCAAAGAGGTTTTTAAACTACTCCTAATTAATCTCTTCTTTCCAATATATTCTACATATTAAATGGTTTTTCTGAAGAAAAAAAAAAACTCATAGGTAGAGGGTTTGCTCATTATGAACAAAACCCTAGTGAGCCCCAGCAGGACACCTGCAACCCCAGCACTGAAAGCAAAAGGATCAGAAACTGAAGGTCAGCCTTGGCTACACAGCATGTTTGAAGCTAGCCTGGGCTAACTTCCTGGAAAAAAAAAGTCTATGTACCAGCTGTTGCCAAATAGATAAATACATAAATAACTTTTGCACTGGTACAGAGTACCTAAGAGAATGTAGACACTTAACTCTGGGGATAAGCTTTTCTTCACAAAGTTCCTGATTTGTCTACTCTCCTCCTTCAGCAGAACCCTGTGTTGTTGGCGGTACTAATTTCTGATATTAAAATTCGAGTGAGGAACATAATGATTCAAGTACTTTAATGAAAGAAGCAAAATTCTAAAGGGTGGAAAATATTTTTCTGTTTAATGTTTCTCCCTTCAACATCATCTCCATTTTTACCTTCTTCAAGTTCTTAGACCAAACCTCTGAAGTCTTACTCCACAGTTGAGCCTAAATTTTATCTCCTGACTTCCTGTCTAGCCATTTACTGGCATTGTTATCTCTTTCACCTACATCTCTTTTCCCTTGTCATTCAACATTTGAGAATTTAGTGAAAATATACTTTGGGATGAAAATACACCAAACCACGTTTTTGAGATGCATTTTAGATTTTGGCTACGTTTTTTTAAATTTATTTATTTGTGTGCATGTGTCTGTATCTGGGTAGGGAAGGGATGTGCCACAGTGCACCTGTAGCCAGTTTTCTCTTTCTACCATGTAAGTCCTAAAGGTCAAAGGTGATTTCTCAGACCAAGTGAGGTCCCATTATCCACAGATCCATCTCACTGGCCCGAAACACATTTTTAAAATGCATATAAATATTACCTTAATGATAAAGAACTAGACACCCCAAGTAGTAATGTTGTCGCCTGACTACTGTTAGAGAAATCAAGACACAGAAAGGTTGACATTGCCTACCTTAGCATCAAAGTTTGGTAAACAGAACAGGGGAAGGGAAGTGATGGAAAGAGGCAAAGAAAGCCAGTTAGGAGGAAAAGGCAGCAATACTCAGGTGAATAGGAGCATACAAGCTTGCCAGGAAAAGTGGGGCATCTCTGCCAAGAGGAATCGATTCATGCACACTGTGAATGGGTCCACTTAGGACTTTCCAAATTAGAAACCTTGGAGGTGACACAGCAATTGGATTTAAAAGCCTCCAGGTAACCCTGAGTCATGCTAAAGTTTCAGACAATGAACTTGCTCACCATGAAAAAACAAACAAGCAAACAGTTTTTTGTTTTGTTTTGTTTGTTTGTTTTAAAGCCAGGCATGGTAAAAAATGCCACACCTATAATTCAGAATTCTGCAAGTTGAAGCAAAAGGATCTGGGGTGCAAGATCCTGTCTCCAAAAACAAAAACATAAAAGCATGTTTTAACAACTCTCTCGGTTTACCTGTTGGCTACATTTAGCTGGAAAATGCCCAAGGTTACTTAAGCTGGCCCCAAAATTCTCTCGTGCACATATTAGATGAGTATCGCTGCGCAATGCTGAGGGAGACCAAGAACCAACCTCTAACAAGGTCCCAAAGTTAAACAAATACACAAGTATTATAACTCAACAGAGCTGGATGGCTTGAGTGTTAAGCAAGCCCTAAGACACAATGCATGTGCTGGGAGAGTAATAAAGACACCAAGAGCTGGGTCTTCTGTTATCATACCCAAGAAGCCTAACTTTGAGCCCTGCCACGAACTTTTAATAAGAGACAGCAAAACCCATAATTATAGCTCATCCACCTGGAGGCTTGCTGGCTTTGGAAATGGTTTAATGATTATATTTTAAGACTACAGATGAATAAATTATTCTCAGACAAACATGCACTACCAAAAGAATGTTTCTGACCTTGGCCCAAGGACATCCTGTGTCCTGGTTTTGGCATCTGCTCCATCACATGCATCAGGCAGACTGATGGGCAACTTCTCTTTTAATAATGTTGTGTTTATCCAAATCTATATGCAACTACCAAAATGCCCCCTATGAGGAGTTTAAAAATGCCATGATTGAGTTCTGAAGTATTCCCTGGGACATGCGGGAGTAGCAACAGAGAAAGAAAGGAGTTTAGACAGCATATATATGATGAGGACAAGCCCTGTGCAATGAATGCACTCTTCAGCTCAAAAAAAACAATCAGAAACATCACCAAAGAAAGCACTTTGTTTTCTCGTTCAAAGAAGAGGTTCCTGAGTAACTTGAACCCACCATGGTGAGGCCACCCTCCTGAAACCGAATTCTTGCCCAGCACTCAGTTCCTTGGGCCCACGAATGTATGCTTACAGGCAAGACAAGTGTACAAGCAAAACCACCCACCACCGGCTGACCCTCTAGAAGGGCGTCTCTGTGGGAGTGTAGTGTGTCAAGATACTTTTTTAAGGACTTTGAAAATTGAATGTTGCCTCTAATCCGGATCTGGATCGAAGGTGGAAGTTAGGGGGTGGCGCTTGGGGTGAGGGGCTCCAAGTCAGGGAAGGCGGCGTTTGCCAACTGCAGCTGTGAGGTGTTGCAGACTACAACAGAGCACCGTCAACCCTCCATCCGCTTCCAAACACTTGGCAGGCTAGATGCCCGGTGATGAGCGCTCCAGTCCGGGTTCCCCTTTCCACCGCCATATAGGGAAGGGGAGGTTGGAGCGGCCGTCCGCCCCCGCCGCACACAGCATCCGCCCACTTGGCGGTGAACTTGAGCCAGCAGCCGTTAACCCGGCCGGGGTATCTGGGCCTCAGCGGACGCGGGCGCGGAGGCCAGCAGCACCCCAAGGTGGGGCGCAAGCCTCGGTGCGCCGCCCTTCCCGGCTCTGCACCTTCAACCCGCCCCTCTCTAGGGCGGCGGAAAAAAATTCCGGGGGGGGGGGGGGGGGGGGGGGGGGGGCGCGAGCCCCGGGGACGCGAGCAACCCCCAAAGTCGCTGCAGCGCTGCACAGAGCCCCGACCGTTTCTCGAGCACTGCACGCACTGCTTGCCTTCATCTCGCCCCATCAGGGAAGAGGGTGGAAGAAGCAAAGACAGACAAGACAGGCAGCCCGTGGAGCGGGCGAGCCTGAAACCCCACCGTCTCCGAGCCCCGGGCACAGCGCTGCGGATGCCAGGTCCCCAGCTGGAGGCGGTGGGGATGGGCAGGGCAGAAGACCCGCTCGCGGCTCGTCCGCGCCTTTCCCGCGCGTGGCCTTCCTCTTCAAGCCCTTCGACTTACCTTGTGCCAGGCGCCCCGCGAGCTGCGGCCGGAGGCGCAGAGCCGAAGGCCGGAGGACAGGAGTTTGAGAGCCGCCATCTTCGGACCCGGTTGCGGGAGGAGGTGGAGGAGCCGAGCGCGCGGGAGTGTGTGCAAGCGCCGGTTGCCGGGGCCGCGGCGGCGTCACGGGCTAAGGAGAGAAGGGAAGGCGAGCCGGGAGGGGCGGGCTGGAGGCTCGACCGCGCGTCCGTGACGTCCTAGGGTCCTCGGAGCGGTGCCGCCCCTTGCAGGCTGTCGGCTTGTCAAGAAGCGAGACAGGGAGGAGCCCACGGCTCTGAGTGGAAGCGCGCCACTGGCAGCGCGAGTCCCGCCGAAGGTCCCCAGGCCGGATGTGCTACCGGCACAGCTGCAGACACCGTCGAGCCACCTTCGACTGAAGGAGGTGCTAGTGCGGGTCTGCCTGCCCCTAGCTCAAGGCTTGCCCTCGACCGGGGTTTTTGGCCCTAAAGGGGCTGGGGGGTCCCTTGCGGAACTTGTTACTTTGCCAAGTCCGCCTCTGGAATTTGTACAGGCACAAGGGGTCACTGATAAAGATCTTCTCCCAAGTTCTAACATTTCTCAGCCACCACCCCCCACTCTCTTCAAGTCTGACTTTGGCCTTAATTTCCTCAGAAAACCAGCAGTGTGCTGACTGACCCTCACAAGATGTGACCTGCCTTAACCAACAGAGGGACAAAATTAGAACTGGGCCCTGGTTCCCCATCATCCTTGTGTTCCAGGACTTTCCTGGCACCCGAGTCCCAACAATTCCAGAGATTAGACAGCAGGTACAAACACAGAAGTGTCTGTCTTGTCCTTAGGCACATTGCATAACTCATCTCACCTTGCAATGCCCTGCCTGTCGTAGATTTGTATGAGAAAAGCCAGGCAAAGGTTTCTGGAACACAATGGACACACAAATTCTAGGCACTAAATTTACTTCAATTCGGTGTTGGATTAACTTTTTGGAGTTTCATTTGCTTGCTGTTTTTGTTTTGTTTATTTGAGAAAACATCTTTCTACATATCTTAGGTCCCACTGAAACTAGATAGACTTGGCTCAGGCTGACATCCACCTCTCCATCCAGCTCTTCTGCTACAGCCTATTCAAGGGTGTTCGAAATCATGCCTGACTCAAGCCTTCTCTTTTGACTGGCCTCCAGGGAACATGAACAGATCCGACTTCTTTAGTATGGTCTACGCACATGGCCGAGTGAAAAAGCCACCTGGAAGCCCAGGAAAACTTTTTATTGGATTAAAGGCCCACCACGTCCTGAAAGACTGACTTAATTTTGAGATAATGCAAAACCTGTGCGAAAATTAAATGACACTTTAGCTTTCTTAGAAAGTACAATAAGGCAGTGAAGGATGGGCAATCCGGTTTAATTAAAATCTTACTATCAGCCTGGTAAGATAGTAAGGGCACTTGCTATCAGGCTTGGTAACTTTAGTTTGACCCCCAGGATCCACATGGTGCCAGAAGAGAACCAAGTCCTTCAAGTGGTCCTCTAACCTCACATGTATTGTGGCATGTGCACAAAATAAATGAATAAATGCTTCTTATACCTGTCCATAAAAGCAATCATCTCCATATTCTTTTAACTAAAAGATTTTCCCTGTGAATACTATGGTTTTAATATGGGAATAAAATATCAAGTTAACCTATCCAATTACATAGGAAAAGTCAACTCTGTAATCCTGGATTTCAGGCACATTTTAGTAAGCTCCAGGACTTCAGATGTTAAAACTGAGGTTCCATGACTAGCCCTAACATAGCATGTGTCAGCTGTTGTATTGCAATTTATAGAAGGAAAAAAAGCTAGTGTTTCAGTTGCTTTTCCATTTCTTCCCTTCCAGGGCCATATGAAAAGGGGAAAAAAAAAAGAAAAGAAAAAGAAAACACTGGCAACTTCATGTGTAGTCATCTGACTCATTCTTGGCTGGCCTCATGTTGTTGCCCCTAGATGAGGAAGACAGGCATTTAAGATCTTGTATTCTGTGGAACTACTGCTCCTGGAAGAAAAAAAAAATCAGTTTCCCTACTGCATAGTCAGAAGACAGGGTGCTGTATTTTTGAAGACGCCATAGATTCATTTTATACCTGCTCAACAATGTGTATGTCATCAATTCAACTTGGAAAGAATATTTACTTTGTACAAAACTTTGCCCTGATTCTTCAGAAGCCCTTTTAATTTTAACTTGCAAATAAAAAAATCCTGATATCTTTAAATTTCTAACTGTAGAAACATTTCCCTCTCCCATATGGGGGGGGGGGAATAACTGGGGACCAAACCCAAGTCCTCCTGCATAAGCACTCAACCACTGAAATACATCCCCTGCTTTATTTTTCAGTTGCTTAGTCTTAAATGCACTCTGTAGTCTAGGGCTGGACTTGAACTCCTGATCCTTCTGCCTCAGCCTCCCAAGTAGCTAGGATTACAAGCCTGAACTAGCAGGACCAGCTTCCCCAATGCCCTGAAAGGCAGTTTGTGACAAATATTCCACATTCATGAAATTTTCTTTATGAAATATTATACCACTTGACTTTGACACTCTTAAAGACTGGAAAGCTTATAAAGGAAAGGTCCCCAACCAGTAATGGAAACTTTGTGTTCTGAGGTTGTGGGTTGAGGTGTCTTTTACCAGGTGAATGCAGTCCATTGAATTGTAGTCACCGTGTTTCTGCTAGAGAGGTTTCACTTTAATTCTCCTGAAATATAGTGCCATAGCTCCTCCTTTTACTGAAAGATAAGACACCCTTCCCTAGTTTAAAGCATGCTCCTCCAGGATGACGATCTAGGGCCTCTGAAGACTGGTTTTCAAACGTTGTCTGACTGGCTTGACTAGTAGTGGGAGTTTTATCTATGTAGTCTGAAGCAGTTACAAAAATGCATAAGTGCCTCATTTTATATAATTATCCTTCTAGCATTAGGGGGAAAAATCTTTCAAACTCTTGAGTTCTCCAGTAAGAAAATATTCAAAATCCTCTGATGTTTCATATGAATTTGCAAACCTAAATATTGTTTTACTATATAGATCATTATGCCTTGATTTGCCTATTTTGTTAACTTAATATTTTCATAGTTCCCAAGAAGCAAATTTTTTTTATTTTGTTTAATTAATACATTAAAATGAATTGGATTCTGCTGGGTGGTGGTGTCACATGCCTTTAATCCCAGTACTCAGGGAGGGAGTCAGAGGCAGGCAGATCTCTCTGAGTTTGAGGCCAGCCTGCTCTACAGAGTGAGTTCCAGGACAGCCAGAGCTACACAAAGAAACCCTGTCTTGAAAAACAAAACAAACAAAAATTGGATTTTCCCTATTATTTTTCATAGAAGAGAATGGAAATATATGAGCTACACAGTCAGAAAGAACTCACCCCCAGGTATGAAAATGAGACGCCTGTTAAGAGGCTAAGAAAAACTTCAGGATTAAAACCCAGCAGCAATCTAGTGCACTCAACTTCACTCTCAGCCTCTCCAGTGTGAGGGAGAGATCACCATAACTGATTTTTAGCCCTCTGGAGCTGTAAGGCAAAGTAACTTCCTTCTTAAATAAGTTGCTGCTTTTGATCATTTTTTTTTTTTGGTTTTGTTGTTGTTGTTGTTTTGTTTTGTTTTGTTTCTGTCACAGCAACAGGTAAGTAACTAATACAGAAGTTGGTACCAGAGTGTAGGCTGTGGCTTTGAAGCACTTGACCATGTTGTTTTGAGGAGGAATGTGGAAGACTGTGGAAATTTGGAGTAGAAAAGCAGTTGAATAATTTAAGTGGGCAATCCTAATTAGGCCTGAAAGACACTAGTGCTGAGAGCAATGAGGACTGTGAAGGCCCAGCTCAAGAGGCTTCAGAGGGAAATAATACTAGCAACTGGACTAAAAGTCATTCTTATGATGTCTGGGCCAAGGATCTGACTACCTCCTACTTTTGTCCTAAAAGCATTCCAGAGGCTAAATTTAAAAGTGACAGATTTAGCAGGGCATAGTGGTACACACCTTTAATCCCAGCACTTGGGAGACAGAGGCAGGCAGATCTCAGTGAGTTCCAGGCAAACCTGGTCTACAAAGCGAGATCCAGAACAGCCAGGACTGTTACACAGAGAAACCCTGTCTAGGAACTCACCTCCCACCCCCACCTCACCCCCCCACCCCCAAAAAAGTGACAGACTAATTTCTTTGGTGAAGAAAATGTCAGGACTACATAATGTTGAGTCTGTGGCGTGGTTTTTATTGATACTGGAGCTTCAGGTCTACAATGGAAGAGAGCAAGTAGGATAGAAAGAAATATGAAATAAACAGTTTGGCAAGAAAAGGAACATTTGTAATGATACAGCCAAGGCACGAACTAAAAGAGAGACTACAATTGTTAGGGAGTTGAACACCATTAAGGAGAGGCCTGATCTGCACTGGAACAGGGTGAGACCCCACCCAGTTATGCTTCCAGATCCTGGAAGGAAAGGGACTAAGAGTTTTTTCTCCTCCTGGTAGTCAACAGCAAACAAAGGCAGCTACTAATGTGGCTCACTGGGGCAGGATCCGCCCCAACTTGATAGCCAAACTTAGCAGGTTTCTCCACATGATGCAGTCTTAGTCTTAGACACATAAAGAGGCAAGACTGAAAGGTTCATGAATTCTTTTTCTTTCTCTCCATTTTTTTATTTAAATTAGAAACAAGATTGGTTTACATGTCAATCCCAGTTCCCTCTCCTCCCCCTCCTCCCTTGCTCCCCACTAACACCCTACCTATCCCATAAGGGGTCATGAATTCTTCTTCCATGGTTTCAGAGAGCTATTGAGCCCAGCAAAGTTATGAGAGACAAGTCCCTGTGTGAAGGCTTTGAGAAGGCTTTGAGAAGCATTGCTTGAATGTTAAATTGCAGCAAAGATGCTAAAATTTTGGTGATTCTGTAGCCATAGGATACCTGCCAAAGAGAACTGCACACGGTGAGTGGAACCACTCCGGGAGAGAGGTGTATATGACAGGCAGCAAAGTCAAGGAGTAGAGGCAACAAAGTCTCTTGACATCAGATGTGAGACTACAGGATTTTGTGTTTGCCCTGTTGAGTTCTGATCTTACCTCGTTACAGTATTCCCATTTAGAAAGGCAGTGTGTATTATACATTGAATGTAAATAATTTGTCTTTTGATTTTATAAGGGTTACAATTAAGAGATTGCCTTGTGTCTCAGAAGAGACTTTGAACTTTTGAGTTATAAGCAGTATTGAGGCTGTGATAGACAATGGGGAGTTTTGAAATTATATTGAATACATTTTGTGTTACAATGTGGTCATGAGCTTTTGGAGGCCAGGGAGTGGAATGTGGTGGTTTAAATGAGAAATGTCCCCCATTAACAAAGGCATTTGAACACTTGGTTCCCCAGTTGGTGGCATTGTTTGGGGAGGTTTAAGAGGTATGGTCTTGTTGAAGGAAGTATGTTACTGGGAACAAGATTGGAGAGTATATAGCCCATTCCACTTCCAGCATGCTCTCTGCTTCATTTCATGCTTGTGGTTGAGATGTAATAGCTCAGCTTCCCGTTCCTGCTGCCATGCCTGCTCTTTGCTGCCCAGTCTTTTCACATGATGGACTCTCATAGTCCTGGAACCATGTGCCAAAATAAAAGTTTCCTTCTCTAAGTTGCCTTGATATTTTACCACAACAATAAAAGGTAGCTAGTACATATAGCCTCCCCCTGACCTTCCTCTTCTACACACATTTTTATTCCAAATTACATGTGCCTTTTCAGTGTCATATGATGAATTCACATAGTTTAAGAAACAACTGACAGCAAACAAACCAAGACACACATGAACTCCAAGTAGGCAGATTGAGGGCAAAGCAATCCCAACACTGTAGTTCCCTAAACTTGTAGTTCCTGTGGTGAATAGTTAATGATATCTTTGCAAATTGCTGAGATATGTGAAAATATACCAACACCCCCAGTATCTATTTATACTGGAATGGTGTTAAAACCTATACCTTGTGAATTTAGTTATATCTTAAGTGCTGTTGGTCCATTCTTTTGCTACAACAGTGTACCTTATACTAGGTAACATAAATAGAAATTTATCACACACAGTTCTGGATGCTAGAGAGCCTGAGATCTGAGTGACAACAGATTCTGTGTCTTGCATTCCTGTGCTGTAAACTGCAATCTAATTTAAGAATGAATTCCTATAACAAATAGCTGAATGGCAGCCAATCTCAGCAGTTATATATCAGCCAATTATAGGCTGACCAGGCCATTTTTCCGTGAAGCAAATAACACTTGATACCATGCCCCCAAAAGGCAAATGCTAAGCTTAATTTAGTGAGGGATTTCTTTTTGTTTTTCTTAATGTCTGCCCATGTTAGTGAGTAGAGCTCTCTGAACTACTGGTGACTCCGGATGCTGCCTCATAAATGATGACATGGATGTCTATTTTTTTTGTCTTATAACAGGTTTCTTATGCAGGCTTGTTTACCCTCTTTATATCCTTATGGCAGAAAGCTATGTTATAGCTTTTATACTGGCAATAATCCCATTTCATAGAAACTCTGCCCTCATGACTTAATCACTTTCTAAAAAGCCTCACCCCAAATATTATTACATTTGTGATTAAGAATGAACTTACAAAGTGAAGAAGTGTAGGGAGTACATATGTGAACCATAGTCCATATTTCATCTTTTGTCACACCCTGGGAAATATCAGGCAGAATTCAAACTCTGAATTACTGCTACCCTTGTATCTCTCACTTCCTGAGACATCTTTGCATTTGGCCCCAGTTCTCTGGTCTGACTACTCCTGTACAATTTATAGACTTCCATTTCTTTTTCATTCATATAGATTATTGTGAATCCTTCCCGAGTAAACATTGCTTCTCTCTTAAATTTAAGTGTTCCTACAAGTCTCATTTCAAATGCATACCCAGTGTTTTTACAACCTTTTCTGAAATATTTCAAGAGGTCTTCACAGGTACCATGATGGACACAAGAGGCAGAAAAGGTCTGTGACCAAAGTGGTGGCTCAGTGTCTCAAGGATGAACACAAGGAAGAACTGATTGCTGATCTTTATTTTCCAAGAGGAAGATAATTTTTGGAAAATACTAACTGTGGTGGCTGAAGAGATGGCTCAGCAGTTAAGAGAACTTGCCACTCTTCCAGAGAACCTGGGTTTAGTTCCCATCACTCACATGGCAGCTTATATTTGTCTATAACTCCATCTCCAGGGAATCTTATACCCTTGTCTGGCCTCCCACAGGCACCAGTCATGCACAAAGTAGACTTCCACACACACATATAGAACATTCATACACATAAAATAAAAGGAAAGAAGTCTTTTTTTAAAAAAAGAAAGAACCAGAGCACTGATGGAGGAAGTGCTTCTGTGTATGTGTTTTTCTCATTGGATGATAAATAAAGTACTGTTTGGCCAATGAGGCAGAAAGATAGGTGGGACTAGGAGTCAAGGAGGATTTTGGGAAATGTAGTAAAGAAGTGGTGATCCCGGAAGTGACATAGTGGGTAGACTCATACATAAGCAAGGGCAAGAAGGAAGTCGCCCCTTTTCCCTCCTGTCTTCCTCCTGGTCTCTGCTGCAGAATCACCATGTGAGCCCAGGAAAACAAGATGCTTGTCACTGGCATCCAATAAGATAAGTCTTATATGTAGAATTATGACAATTAAGACTGAGCTAGCAGATGAGAAATCCTAGTCATTGGCCAAGCAGCATTTGCACCTAATATAAGTCTCTGTTTGTTACTTGGTACCTGAACGCAGCAGTGGTCATAACTCGGGTGGCTGGTGAAAGGCACCCATGTGGCAGCAGGGCAGGGGTGGCTGCGGCAGAAAGACTTATTGTTACAGAATGGTGTCAGTGAGTGGAATGACCCCATGCCCCGAGATTCCCAGAGGAAGAGGGGAACCTGCCACTGCAGCCAATCTCTTTTTAAAGGAAAAGAAGGGGAATAGGATATGGAGATGAATACTTTTCATTGGTATGGATTTTCATTTATTGATACAACATTAAGATCAATTTTGTGATATGTATATGTCTCCTCTTGTTTAGGTATTGTGTTTATACAGATCTTTTAAAATGATATGTATAATTAAATACAGATTATATAGTCACATATAATAGTCAAAACTTACAGTTAGGATAGTTATGTTTTCTAGATATACAGAGATGTATTTGAGATAAATAGGTATTCTTCAAATATTTGAAAGACCTACAGAATATATGGCATTTAAATGGTTTAGGGTTTTTCTTGACAGTGAGACACAACTGCTCCTGGCACACCAATTACATCAAAAAGGAGGGTGGGCATTGAAGAAACTCGTTATGGAGTTTGCCTTCAACATGGCAAAATTAGCCATTTGGGCAAGAAACTGCTCTTGCCTGGACTGTTGCTGTATAAACTGGACATACAGGACCCACAAAAAAGTGACTGCTGAACTTACAAAACAAGTCAGTAGTGAAGGGTTCCTCCTGAAATGGAGAAGTGTTCCAGACACACTGGCCTATGAGCTGAAGATGGATATCCCAATGTTACAGAGGAACTTTGGGTGACTGTTTAGGCAGTGAGATGTCTCTGTCAGATCTAGAGTTTATATATATTCCTTCTGTGGTCTTTGATGGAGTTGAAGACAGATAGTTATGGCTATGGTTTTCTTCAGTTATTATAAAAGATGAATTACCCTTCTTTTTATTTATACAGAAAAGAGGAGGTGATGGGGTAAGTGCTTCTGTGTATGTTTGTCTTATTGGATGATAAATAAAGTACTGTTTGGCAAATGAGGCAGCAAGTTAGATGGGACTAGGAGTCAAGGAGGATTCTGGGAAATGTAGTAAAGAAGTGGTGATCCAGGCAGGAAGTGATATAGCAGGGAGACTCATATATAAGCAAGAGCAAGAAGGAAGTTGCCCCTTTCCCTCCTCTCTTCCTCCTGGTCTCTGTTCTGGAGTTGCCATGTGATCTGCCAGCAAGAGAGGGCGCCAGCAGAAGGCATCCAATAAGATAAGTCTTATAAAATATATAGATTTATGATAATTAAGACTGAGCTAACAGATAAGAAATCCTATTCATTGGCCAAACAGCATTTGTACTTAATATAAGTCTCTGTATGTGACTTGGGACCTTAACATTGTGGCGGGCGGACCATGGGAGGCCAGGGAGCAAGTGCCCACGTGGCTGCAGGACTCGGGCAGCTTGGAATAAAGCCTTATTGCTACAGACCACAGCCCACTACAGCAATCTCATAAAAATATTATTCTAATTCTGAGGTAGACAGCTATCTTTTTCGGTCAGGGCTACTCACCCTGCTTCTCTACTTCTGGAGGAAAAGCTTCCATTGAATCTTCACTTCAGTCTTCCTACTCTGTTTCAGATTTATTTCCAATATTAGTGAGGTGGAAGTCCCTGTCATCACCACAAGGTAAACCCCAACATCTGGTTCTAGCCACAATGTAAAAAGCATGTAGCTGTAAAAGGCCATCAAATTCCGAGGACTCCACAGAGACACTGCTTGACATTTGAATCTTTTATAGTTTAACAATTATAGAGACTGCAACCTAAGTCACTTTTATACATAATAATTAACTGATTGCACAGTTTGAAAAGAGACATTAGCATAGTTATTCTACCATCCCGATTTCTATATTTGAATCTAGAAAATAAATTATTCATAGAATTGTCTATTTGTTTTCCCTGTTTTATCACTTACCTCTCTGAATATTTGCTTTTTTAAATTTTTGTATACAATACTTGAATGCTCTGGCCAGGCATACATACTTCTTGTAACATTTAGTGCTGACTATCAACTTGATAGTTTACCAGCCTCTGGGCAGTATAGTGACAGCTTTTTTGACTGGGTTGATTGAGGAGAGAAGACCTACACTAAAAGTTGATGGCCTCACTCCCTGGAGTTGGGTCCTAGACTGCAAGTATAAATAAAAAGGAGAAAGCTAGCCAAGCGCATGCATTCATTGTTCTTTTCTTCCAGACTTCAGAGACAACTTGACCTGCTGCTGTGACCTTTCCTGCCATGATGCACTTTGCCTTCAATCTGTGAGACAAAACAAATCCTTTCTACCTTAAGTTGATTTTTAAAATATTTTGTTTTTATGTACTTGTCTATTTATTGTGTGGGGGGTGGTGGTGGTGGTGCCAGTTTATATGTCTGTGCACCATGTACATGCAATGCCCAAGAAGGCCAGAAGAGGGTGTCAGATCTTCGGGGACTGAAGTTGTGAGCTGCCATGTGAATGCTGGGACTTAAGACCTGGGTCCTTAGAAGAACAAAAAAATGCTCTTAATCATCGAGGCATTCCAGCCACCATGCACTTTTCAGTTGTTTTTGTCTTCTCTAAATCCCTTGGGGATAGCTCTCCAAGCTTGCCCAAGGGAAGGGTGGAGCCAGCTCTCTGGAGTGGTGTACCACAGCCAGAGATGGACAGGGTCAGCTCTTCCCACCTCCTCTCCTCACCTATTGCAAACAGGATAGCTGACATGAGAGCAGGAGAGAAGTTTCTGCACTTTGCCAGCTAAAGCACTTGGCAGAGCAAGCCCCATGCTTTACCTGGGCACAGTAGAGCTGGCCTCGATGGTAACAGCACAGGTGAGCCGGCCCTGAGGGCATGATAGCTGGAGAGTTGGTCCCACTCCGCTCCTGGGTAGTGTGGGAGAGCTGGCTCCACCTCTTGCTAGGGTGATATAGAAGAGCTGCCCTTTGCTAGTTGCAACACTCAGGAGAGCAGGCTGTATACCTCCTCTGGGCATGTGGTACACCTAGCCCTTGGGGTATGAAGAGCAGGCCTGAGGGCATGAAAATAGGAGACCTGGCCCCACACCTTCCTGCTGTAACCTTCTGGTGGATCCTGTCCCACCCCTTGCCAGCTGCCACACTCAGGACAGCTGCCTCCCCCCATCCCCACCACACCACCTGGACAAAACAGAAAATCTGGCCCCGGGGCACCAGGTGCAGAACAGACAGCCTGACCAACTCAGCTATGACCGCAGCCCAGATCCAGGGCTTTGAGTTGGCCAGCTCCAACATCTACCCCATCCATGAACTGCTGGAGCTCAAGGAGGGGCAAGTCCTGCGGATCCAAAGCTCCGGATCTCCACAGGGCAACAACAGGACATCAGAAAGGAGTCCAGGCAGCATCCAGTATTGACAGTGTCAGAAGCCAGAGGCCTCAATGCAGACCAATGACTCATTAGTAAGTAAAGCTGTTTGGGCAAAAGGGTGACTGTGTGACACAAGGTAACACACCACAATTTCCATGACAATATTTTTTTAAATCTCTTTCTTTTGTTTTATTGTTTTTTTTTTCTTTTGCAGGGAGGATGCTAGAGCAGAGGGCAGATATGAATGGACAGGGAGATGAGTGGTATTGGGGTGCATGATGTGAAATTCACAAAGGATCAATAAAAGTTTTAAAAAATGATAGTGCACTGGAGGCATATTTCAATGTGACTGCTTCTTATTTGTGATTTATATATAGCAACACAAGGCACTGACTGTAGAAACTGTTGAAGCTCCTTGTTTCATGTTTGTTTTTTGCTTTTTGTTTCTTTTTTTGTTTTGTTTTGTTTTTCAAGACATGGTTTCTCTGTGGCTTTGGGGGCTGTCCTGGAACTAGCTCTTGTAGAACATGCTAGTCTCAAACTCACAGAGATCTGCCTGCCTGTGCCTCCCTAAAGCTGGGATTAAAGGTGTGTGCCACCAACACCTGGCTGTCAGAGTCTTTAGTTAAAGTATATACTGAGAGCCTAGAGAAAGCTGTAGTGTGATCAGAAATTTCTTGTGATTATATAGCCAAATATAAAGACATCAATTATCAGATTTCTTATGCTTCTTGGTCCCATTTACAACAGGAAAATGTTCTTCAAACTACAAATTATCATCTTATATGCTGGGGTTCTAGATGAATTTATTTGAAAGAATCATTCTTACTACACATTATCTTTGAACACAATAGCTTTTTTCCCTTTTTTTATTAATTTACTTTTTACATTCTGATCCCAGTTTCCCTTCCCTCTTTTCCTCCCACTCCCTCCACTCACCCCTCCTCCCATCTGCTCCACAGAGAGGGTAAGGCCTCCCATAGGAAGTCTACTAAGTTTGTCCCATCATCTCGTTGAGGCAGGCCCAAGGCACCTCTCTACCCTCACATTCCTGTGTCTAGGCTGGGCAAGGTATCTCTCCATATAGAATGGGCTCCACTAAGTCAGTTTGTGCATTTAGAGTTAGATCTTGGACCCACTGCCAGTGGCCTCATATATTGTCTCAGCTGCACCATTGTCACTTATATTAAGGGAGAATAGTTTGGTCTTATGCAGGTTTCCCCATTTGTCAGACCTGAGTCAGTGATCGCTCACTAGTTCGGGTCAGCTGATTCTGTGGGTTTCCCCATCATGGTCTTGACTCCTTTGTTCACATTATCGATCCTCCCTCACTTCAATTGTACTTCAGGTGCTTGGCCCATTGGCTAGTTGTGGATTTCTGCATCTGCTTCCATCTGTTTCTGGAAGAGGATTCTAGCTTCTCCGGGGTTATGGATTATGGGCTGGGTATCTTTTGTTTTATTTCTGTTATCCACTTATGAGTGAGTACATACTATATTTGTCTTTCAGGTTTTGGGTTAACTCACTTAGGATGTTTTTTTTTCCTAGTTCTGCCCATTTGCCTGAGAATTTTAGGATATCATTGTTTCTTGCCTCTGAGTAGTACTTCATTTTCTTTATCCATTCTGCAATTGAGGGGCATCTAGACTGTTTCCAAGATCTGGCTATTATAAATAATGCTGCTATGAATATAGTTGAGCAAATGTCTTTGTGATGTGAATGTGCCTCCTTCGGGTATATGCCCAACAGTAGTATTGCAGGGTCTTGAGGTAGGTTGATCCCTAATTTTCTGAGAAATGGACATGCTGATTTCCACAATGGCTGTATAAATTTGCACTCCCACCAGCAATGGAGGAGTGTTCTCCTTTCTCCCACAATGATTTTTAACTAAATCAGCCTTTCCGATTCTTGATCATAACAGGGACCTTATGACATGGAATCTTTGACAATGACTTTTCCTTTATCAACCAAGCAAGCTCCTGCTCATCTTTCAGGATCAGTATCACAAATCGATCCTCCATGAACCTTGACTACTTACACCAGAGTCCACTTCCTTAAAAAAAAAATTCCTTTACTCCATGCTCTCAGGGTCTTTTGTCACCTGGATTATGATTGTTTCAATAATGTCATTGTTGATTTTTATATTCATTGTGTCATGGGGTTAATGATAAATTCAGAGCAGCTGCTCAACATATTTGGGTTTTGTTGATTTGAGCTACCTTTTTCTCTTTCCTAACCCAAGCCTTGAGCCTTAATCTGTGCCACTCAGTTTACCTCTTTAGATGGAGCATCTCTTACCCAATCGTGATGTATAAGTAATCATTATTCCCACGAGCATTCTCTTTCTTCCACTGACCACCACACTCTTGGCCTGTCTTCTCTAGGATAGTTTGTGTCTGAATTCAGTACCTCTAACTGTCCTTTCCCCACAGATAACCTACCATTAAAAAAACGTGAATTCAATTGGCATTCAATGATCTATGTTTTATTTTATACTTCTTTATTTTCTTATAAAGTCTCCTGTGCTTTTTAAAATTATTTCCTACTCCTATTTAAAAAAACATAACTAACCTACTCTTTTTCACAAGGAAAAAAGTAAAACCAAAGGTGAATATTGGCAACCACTCCCCCCCCGTTATATTTCAAGACAACTATTAATGCCTGCAACAATACATTTCAAAAACTGCTGCCAAGATATTATACTTTATTTATTTCCATATCACGTTCCATATTTATTACCATAGCTGCCCAGTATAATATAGGTCAAAGTTATTTTGCCACATGAAAAAGTAAAAACATTAAATTGTGTATAGAAATATTTAGGATAAACTTAACAGGCAGGACTCAAATTCTATTGCATAATGAAAGTATCTGTATTTATATATTGTCACATAAAAACAGAAAAGGAACATCTAAATACAAGGAGAAAGGTAAGAGCTAGACTGAATAGTTTCTCAAATGCTTAAACATAATGCTTAGATCACTAGATCTATAGCTTTGATCTTACAGTTCTAAATATACACTTTTTTTTTCAGAGAGGTATTTGGAGGCACAGGAGACGTGTCTGTCTATAGAGGCGGTTGCCATCAAAGTCTGCTGACCTGAGTCCACTCCCACATGGTAAAAGGAAAGAATCAACTCCAGCAAGCTGTCTTTTGACTGCCACACATTTATTGTGGTGTATATATACACACACACACATTTTCAAAAACAGTCATAAAAAGATGTTTGCACTCTCATGTTTATTGTAGTACTATATATAGCAGTCAAGATATAGGAATGCCCTAAATTTCCAGCTCTGTATGGAAGGAGAAATAAATCATGGCATGAATATATAGTTAGATACTTTTCCACCTTAAAAAAATAAAAAGGGTATTCTGACCTATGTGATGCTGTGAGTGAAACTTGAGGGTATGCTGAATGAAATGGGACAGTTACAGAGGGTTGAAACTAAGAGTGATCCCTGTGTCACACAAAGGAACATAAGGACAAAGTGAAAGCCCAGCAAGGCCATTTCTTTTGTGAAAAATGAGAAACCACTAAAACGAGACTGACAAGGGCAGGGGGCTCACTTGGATTTTTCAACACTGGCGGTGGCTGCTTTTTCTCATAGGCTGGAGTCCAACCTCACAGTTTTTTGGGATTGTTTGTTCAAAAAGACTTGCTGCCAAGGAAATGAAGGAAAGGGGAGAGGGTTAGCCATTCCAGGCCCTCACGTTCCAGGCGTTAGGTGGGGATGGGGTGTGTGTGAGGGCTTTAGGGAAGCAGACGTTTTACAAGGTGTGGAAGATTTAAGATGTGGGGGAGATTTATAGATATTGGCCACTGGTGAGTTAGCTAGCATTGATAGAAAACAAATTTTCTCAAAGGACAGATATATTAGGTTCCAAAAATGGTCAAATTTGGAGAAACGTGGCAAAGAATGTTTTCCATGAGTGTGATGGGAGGGAAATGAGAAACTATGACAGGACCACAGACCTTAACACAGCTGATTCCATGATGAAAGCACCATTCAGGTGGTAAAACTCTGAACGTAGACAGCACCACCTGCCAGAATGAAGACAAAGACCTAATCCATCCAAGTCATAGTTCCTGGAAGTCTCTAAATGTACTCACCTTGCCTCTTGGCTTCTGTATCTCCACTTCTGGCTAACTGTTCTTGTTAACTGAAGTGTGCAAACTCAGAACATGGGATTTGTCTTTAAAAGCTCACCCTGAGAAAGGCTCAGGGCTACACTGAGGGCTACACTCGGGGCTAACACCTAATGTAATTTTTGGCCAGTTAATAAAGACTTTCTGTTGGCTTAAACCCATGTCTGAGCAGTCTTCTCTTGTGTCTGCCTTACAACAGAACTGATATTCAAGGAGTCTGTATTTTAATTATAAAAAAATAAGTTCTAGGGATATAGTTGGCTTTGGATACCACCTCCTGTTTCCCTTGTAACACTAGAAAGGTAAGCACCGAGAATGTCCCGTCTTAGTATTTAAAATGCTGTATGAAGAGATTGAGATATCGGGCCTCTATTGAGGGCCCTTAAGAGAAATTATTTCCTGACTGAAAGAAAAATTTTATTTCCTGTCCTAGCTGGTGAAACCTCCTGGGCAGAAAAAGGAGGAATAATCAATCACCCCTTAATGAGATGGGGTGCTTAGCCCTCCCAGAGGAGGCTCCTCAGCTACAGCTGCTCACAAGCCCTTCATCTGGCACCACTGCTCTGCATGCCTGCTTTTCTTAGTTCTAAATAAACAGAAACAACAACAACTAAACAACTCTTACTTTCCTTCTATCTTTTTCTTTCAGATACCAGCCCAAAGCCTAACTATGACTTCTTTTACACTCAAAACTTCCTCATGTTTGCTCTGAAACCTCTCTCCCTCTCTATCATGCAGCTGCTTGCTGACTTCCATTGCTGAACAGGATGGTTCTTTTTTATAAAGCCTAATTCAAAATGCATGACTTCCTTTTCTTCATTTCCAGTGTCCCACAAGCTGCCAAGATTTACAGCTTGCCTGTTACATTATTTTTTTTATTCAAACTCTAGAAAAATGATCCTTTTGATCTGTTTTTAAGTTATTTTATCAATGAAATTAAGAACCCCAAAGGGGCCTCTGATTTCCTCATTAAGAAGGTGTATGGCCTGGGCACAGTAATAAATACTACTTAGTTATCAACTTTTACCTGTTTTATTTGTAACCTGGGAACCCGGGGATAATTTCAGGAGATTAGCTATGCTCCATATTGCTCATTAATATTTCCTTTGTCTGTCAGTGCATGGAAAGGAACAATAGGATAATCTTTGTTATGCTTTGGATCTTATGTACCCTTCAAAGGCCATGTGTTGAGATTTGTTCACTGGCCTGCCTCATTACAAGGAATGTTACTAGACACAGGTCTGGCTGCTTGGTGCTTGCAAGCTAGCATTTGCAAAGAACTGATAAGATGGAAACAAGCTTTACTGAAGAGCTGGAGTGAAGGGATGGTGTTATCATTTCCTTACTACCCTGACTCCCACACCCGAAAAGTCTTGGGGGGTCTCAGATAAATGGAAGGTTTAGAAAGGGAAAAAGAGGTTCAGGAGCCTGGGTATTAGGTGAAGGTATTCATCCAGTATATGTGTAACCCTTCTCTCACCATGTAATGGTTTGAATATGAAGAGTCACCCCAAAAAGATCATGCAGAACAGGTTTGTCCTCAGCTTGCAGTGCTATTTTGGGAAGTTCTGGAAACATTAGGAGATGGGACATAGCTGGAAGAAGTAGGTCACAGCTGGGATTTGAATCACAACTCAGATCCCTCCCTGCCTTTCTCTCTGCTTCTTGTCTTCCATGAGTCGAGCAGGCCCCATGCCTCCATGAAGAGCTACAGGTGGCCAATGGTTCATGAGAGAGGAAGAATCAAGTTCCTCCAGAAAAGAGCTCCTTCACAGGTTTTTCAGTTCCCAGTGGTAATCCCTGGGCACAAATACACACAAGCAACAGTAAACAGGTTCACTATGTTGAATATGCATGTGTGCAATATATGTCTGAATACATGCATATATATGTATTATGCATGACAATAATAATTAAAGAGATCATGAATTTCAGAGAAAGGAGTGGGAGGGAATGGAGTGGCAGCAGTGATGAAGATGCATTGCTTATTATGTCTGAAGTTCACTTGTTTAAAAAAGTTACCAAACCATAGCTCAAAAATTAAGTGAAAAATGTCAATCGCAAATAGTCATATATAATATTAATTTTTGGTAACATACAAATATAGGCCATTTCTATTTCCACAAAAATTGTATTAGACAGTGGCTGGGTCTGGCTAGCAGGAATGGAAAGACTGACTAGCCTTTAGACCAGTGGTTCTCAACCTGAGGGTTGCCATCCCTTTGGGGTCAAGTGATCCTTCATTGGAATCACCGAAGACAGTTGGAAAAGACAGATGTTTATATTACAATTCATAGTAGTAGCAACATTATAGTTGTAAAGTAGTAAGGAAAATAATTTTATCCTTTCATAGAGGTCCCCACAACATGATGAACTATATTAAAATTTCACAGCATTAAGAAAGTTGAGAACCATTGGCTTAGACATTAGTTTCTGGCCAATCCTTCTAAGAATTGGCAGAAAGGATTAGAAGTTAGATTATTAGATGAGAGTCGAAAACTGGAGTATTTTGGGTTTTACTGAGTATTGAATCCAGGACTTTTATGTACTAGACAATTGCTCTATTATTGAACTAAGTCCCTAGCCTAGCAGTTATACACCTAGGTCTGCATAGTTCAAAAATAAACCTAGGAAAGGAGCTTATTTATTCCCCATTGTGTGATGAGCAGTTACTTTTAATAGCTTACAACAATTTATTTCCTTGTTGTTCTGTCACTTAGAAATCCAGCCAGAGCTTTACTGAGTGAAAAGAAATGCTCTGAGCCTTATTTTTGTGTAGAAACTAAAAGACAATTGGTACCAGGGGAGTGGATGACTCTCAAGCATCTAAGTGGCCTGTGGTGGAAGGCAGGGTTTGGTAGGGTGAAAGGTCAGCTGGAAACTGGAAGTGCTTATTCAAGTAAACAGTCATGTGTCCCAGGTTACATAAAGAAAAACAAAATCCAGGAGGGAACTAAAGGGATAATGATCAATGATCTTGATAGACAGGTAAAGGATGTATGGAATAAAGTCAGAGATTCCCTTTTGAGGTTTGAGACATTTTCTAGTAGTCCATGATGCCGTATTCTGTTACACAGGTGGCAAAATTTAGAGTGAGGTTAAATGGTTAAGGGAGAACAGATATTTACCATCTTTACTTACAGTGAGAGGCAGATCCAGAGATTAGTAGGGGGTGAGAGAAGCATCAAGGAAGTCTGGCCTCAAGAAGAGGAACCACAAAATAATAGTCAAGTTTGCAGTGAGATGGAAAATTTGAGGAAACTGAAGTACTGATGGATGCAAGAGCAAGAGTCCCAGGGAAACAGTGAAAAGCTGGGAATGGTTGTTAGGAAATCCTGGGGAAAGAAGCTGAGGGTGGAGAGATAAGGGCATGGACACAGATTTCAGATCTTAGTAATTCTATTCCTAAGGGCTAATGTATATGGCTGGAAACGACTAACTTCAAGCCACTTAACAGAGCCTAAGTTGTTTTAAAGCAGAGAAAGTAAATTGTGCTTGTCAGGGCTGATTATGTTATTGTAGGCAATAAGGACAAAGGAGAGTACTTTCTGGATCAAGTGTAAGTAAGTAAAGTGTATTTATTCAGGCTGCTATCTGACACTATATTTTATGATGCATTCATTTTCTCACTGTATTTATGACAAAAATAGAAACTGCCTGGCCCAAGTGTGCTAAAATAACTCCTAATCTCCAACATAAAAAATAAACAATAGGAAAGTTTAATAGATTAAGTGATGGATTTTTCTCTTGCCAGAAATGTTTTGGGGTGTGAGCTTTATGCTACATTACTGACGAATTCTTGCTTAATTGGTCCCTTTTACATATTCACCTGGTCATGCCTACCTTCTCTTCCACACGTTAATATCCTTGTTCGAGGCTTAAACTCTGTCTTCCCTCCAGCCTCCCTCTCTCTACACTTACACCTCCAAATCCCTCCTGTGTGCTTCCTGATTGTGTCTAGCTAAGAACCATTCCAGATCTCGCCAAGGCCTGTATCTATCTATCTTTTCCTGGCATAGGAAGAGTTTTATAATGTCTCCTCTGCCAGCTTTTCAAGGTTTTGTTTTTTAGTCAGGGTCCCATTTAAATAATGGGGGAGAGGAGAGAGAGAGAGAAGAGAAAGGAGAGAGAGAGAAAAAGAGAGAGAGAGACTGCACTTTCTAAAACTTCCTAGATAACCATCTAGCAAAGTCTGTTCTGTGTTTGACAAATTCTAAGTGTAGCCTCAGAGAAATTGCTCTTGGGTGAAATTACTCTGACCATTGTGCCATATGAGGAACTGTATAAGAATACATTAGAGCCACAGCCTCTGGATTTGTGAGTAGGATCTGCTGTGGAATAAATTTCAACTTGGACAGTGGTTTTAAAAAAGTTTAATTAAAATATTACTCATACACCATACAATGCATTCAAGTATTAATTTCCACTATTTTTAAGAAAGTCACAGGTAAATACTATTCAGCCATCACTTCAGAAAGATGCAATTTGCTCTTGAGGAATCTCTCTATATTCCCACTTACCCCAACCCAAGGGAACATTAGATACACTTTGTCTCTGGCTTTTATATAACTTGGGCATTTAGTAAAAATACAATCATGTAACTTGTCTTTTGTGTCTAGATTCTCTCACGTGGAAAAATATATTCTGTTAGGATCTATTTTCTAGAATATACACCAACATTATTTCTTCTTGTGCCTGAGTGATGTTCTATTGTCTGATTAAGCCATATTTCATTAATCAGTTCAAAGGCATTCAGGTTATTTCCAATTTGTGTCCATTATAAATGACACAAAAGGCCCAGTCAAGCTGGGTGGTGGTGGCGAATGCCTTTAATCCCAGCACTCGGGAGGCAGAGGCTTGGCAGATCTCTGTGAGTTCATGGCCAGCCTAGTCTACAGAGCGAGTG